TTCTTCTTGCTAAATGCAGCTTTTGCCATGGCAATCCTGGATTTAATTTCACAAGTACACCTTCCATCATCTGTTAACAAGCTACCCAAATATTTAAAACATTTCACATTCTCCAGTTGTTTTTGGTCTATCTTTATTGTGACTTGGGTTGGTTGTCTCGAAATTTTCATTACTTTTGTTTTCTCCACATTCATTTCCATGCCATAGCACCTTCCAATTTCAATTAGTCTATCAATCATGCCCTGTAGCACAGTTTCTTCCTTAGCCATTAACACAAGGTCATCTGCATATTTCACAGATTGAATAATTTGCCCTCCTACTTTGAAGTCACCGAGCCCATCCAGAGCTTCCTTGGTAAGGCATTCGCTGTACAAGTTGAACAGAATATATAGGTTATATATAGAATCAAATAACATGGGAAGATGATCATGAATGATGGGTAGGTACAAACTTTGAAGGAGACAGTTGTGGTCATAGTAGTAGTAAGCATTTGCCAGATTTAATCTGTTATTTGATTCATGAAAGAAGTTATGGTTTTTTAATATCTTCCTGTATATTTGTACTTTGCCACATTTTTGTAGGATGATCTGTTAGCTGTCTTTATCTTTTGTTCTTGTCCTGAATTCTGGTGACAAGTCATGATTAAGTATTTACTATGGAATTCAATGTATGGCACTTCAGTGGTGGCAGTATTAAAATAAAACCATCTTTATAATGATCTGCTGTTTCAGAACAAATCTGTATGTATGTAGTGGGAAGTGGTAGAGGTGTCAGTCAGTTTGTGTCTCATGATTGATCTGTCATGGAAGAGAAAATTCTTGAACTAGAATGTTAATTGTAAGAAGGTGTAGATAGGTGACTGGTGCTTGTGCTGTGTATGCAGGTACTCACTGGCCATGAGGGTCCAGTTGTGAGTGTTGCGTTCAGCCCTAGTCCTGCCAGCACTGCCCTTGCATCAGTCAGCTGGGACAAGACGCTGAAGCTGTGGAATGCCGTCGAGTCTGGCAGCAGCCATGAGACTGTTCAGCTTACAGCAGACGGTATGTTGTTCATATCACATTGCAGCTAATTCACTGTATGGCATCACTTTGCACAAGACTGTATTCTTAATATTCACATTTGATCATCAGGGTTGTGTGTGACATACAGACCAGATGGTGAGGAAGTCGCAGTGGCGACACTGGATGGACAAATCACATTTTTTGACTGCAAGACCTCACAACAGACAGGCAGTATTGAGGGTCGCAATGACTTGGGCAGTGGGCGTTCAGACACGGATCTCATTACAGCCAAGAAGAGTCTTCAGGGAAAGTATGTTAGCATCATATATTTCGTTAATATGTCTTAAACACAGATGGATGCAAAAGTTGACTCATCTTTTGTTGATATTTTTTGTGTATTTATTTTCTTGTGCTCATAATAAAAAATAAACTTACCTTTGTGAGGCACCTTGTATAAAACAAAGTGCATTTTGTGGCCTGCTATAGAGTGATGTTTTCTAAACTAAATTTGTCTGGCTGATCCACAGAGCATTCACAAGTCTCTGTTATACTGCAGATGGCAGTTGTATCTTAGCTGGTGGACAGTCAAAGAACGTCTGTATATATAATGTCGCCGAAGCTCTGCTGCTGAAGAAGTTCGAAATCACGCAGAATCGTTCATTTGATGCTGTTGATGTAAGTAGAACATAAACTTATAGATTGACATAGGTTCTTAAAGTGTAATATGTTTAATGTTAGACTTTCAACAGTGCCATATTTTCTTGATTACTCCATATTCTTTTCAAACAAAAAGAAGTTAAATATAATTAATCTTATGTATCGCAGCATTAATGTTCCCTTCTGAGCACAGTGCAGCATCAGGAAACACATTCCATGATCCTCACAGCTGGTGTGATGTATTAGAATTCACACTATTTTGTATAAAACATGTATTTTGCTGAGAGTTTCTAAAAACACCCAGACAGATGTTGGAAATGTTCAGCAAGTCTGACTTTGTTGTTGTAGCATGCTGTTAATTAATTTACTGGAGAAATGAAGCATAATCTGAACCTTGGTGATCTGCCCTTAGTTCTTAACATTGTGAAATGATGTTCTGTATAGGATTTTATAAACCGGCGTAAGATGACAGAATTTGGTAACATGGCATTGGTGGAGGAGCGAGAGGAACAGGAAGGTGGCAGCGTTGCAATTAGTTTGCCGGGAGTGCGATCTGGTGACATGGCAGCTAGAGCGTTCAAACCTGAAGTGAGGGTGTACTGCTTGCAGTTCTCGCCTACAGGTAACTACACATTGAAACAATTTCTTGGTGACATCTTGTGCACTAGAATTCTGCATATTGTCCCAAATTGTTGTACACTAAGCACTGGTCTGAGTTGCTGTATTGCAGCAGGATTTCAGTTGTTTTATTCAATAGTGTCTGTGATTCCTTCAGTGTCATGTTTCAGGACATCAGGATAAGTGTGGGATTCAAGAGATAAAGATATTCCCTAGAAATTGTTCACTGTCTGGAATAGAGATTGTCTTCAACATTTTGGAGGCTGAACTGGCTTCAGAAGAAGAGCAAGAAGGAACAGGAGGTGCACTTGATCCTGAACTTGGGTGTGGGGCATGTTCCGAAGCCCCAGTCATAGGTTGGGTTGTTCTTGGGCCAAAACATACTTTCTTCCCATAAGAAATAATGTAATTAGTGGTTGTTGACACAGAAGCATTGGCTTTATTTCAACATTCACAGTGTTCAGAGTGATTTTCATTGCAATATGGCATCTTAAAAGATGGTTAAAATATAGACATTTAAACAAATGGAGGTGCAAAAACAAGGAATTAGAGAATTTAAATATATGTAGCTTTCTGTAGATGGAAATTTGAATTTTCTATACTGGTGAATTTCTTGGTTTGGAGATTTCCACAGCAGTGACATCCTTTGGGATGCGATTCAGTGTAGTCACTGGAAACACCAGTGACCTTCTGCCAGACTACATGGTGTCACATTTCAGAATATAGTACTCTCTGTTAACACATTTGTTTCTTCCAGGGCAGGAGTGGGCTGCTGCCACCACTGAGGGGTTGCTCATATACTCATTAGATACAAGCATGGTGTTCGATCCATTTCTGTTGGAACAGAGCATAACACCAGATTCTGTAAGGAAAACTCTCCAAGAAGAGGATTGGCCTAAAGGTATAGATTACCTTATGACACAGTCTTTCAAATCCTGTCTTAGGCAAGAGTAACCATGCTGTTGGAGTGCTTCTCAACCCATTATTACTACTAGGCCCAGCTTGGTTCTAGTATGAAGGCCTGCAGCTCTCTACTAGAGCTGGACTAATGCCAACAGAGGCATTAATATCCCATTAACACACTTCTTCACTTTAGGTTTCATGCCCAAAGAATATGCCCTGTTACCCCAGCCACACATTTCCCCACTTGTTTTCATTCCCTAGGAAACTTCTCTTTTACCCAGTACACACTTACCTACTTCAGGTTTCATTTCCTACGAAACTTATTACTCATCCACACACTTCTGCACGTCAGCTTTTGTTACCTAGGAAAGTGCCCAATTAATGCATCCACACACTTTTCCACTTCAGGTTTCATTCCCTAGGAAACTGCCCTATTATCTAGGAAAGTGCCCCATTAATGCATCCACACACTTTCCCACTTCAGGTTTCATTCCCTAGGAAACTGCCCTATTACCTCAGCCAGCAACTTTGCATTTCTCTTGTAGTGTGTGTAGATAATTGTGAGTGATGAATTAGGAAGGATGTGTTGTATTACATTTTAGGGTACTAACATAGTATTTGTGTAGAGAGACTGGGGAAAACCATGCAAGTAGTTGCTGAATCTGAAGTTACATATTGGTATAAGTAGTCCTGTGTGTGTTTACAGCCCTGATGATGTCCATCAGGTTGAATGAACCAGATCTGATCCAGCAAGTGGTGGAGACCACGAGGCCTTCAGATGGTGAGTGCATGAAAATGATTATTCCAGCATTCATTATATTGAGATATTACAGTGTTAGGCATATTTGGTCTTAGAAATAGGAGTGTAAAATCTGAGTATCCCCCAAGTTCATTCTTTCTAGTTTTCTGGGGTTTCATTGGGATGGAATGTCTCCATTCTCTCTCTGTAGTCCATAGGTCTCCACTTGTGTCTGTATACCTGTGGCAGCTAATCTTTCCTGGCAAAACCATTTGTAGAGTGCAGAATTGTTATCTTTATTCTTGGCATTCTGCTTTAATTTATGTGTCCCTGATCTTCTGCTACAGAACAGCTGATCATATTTTGCCTTTGTTCTTCGAAATGGTGAGCAGTGTTGAAAGGATCAGTCTCTGTTGGATTCTTGTTTTGCTTCTCAACTTCACAGAGGCATATTGAGTCATGGTTTGTGTTTTTGTCTGAGCACTTATGTTCATTGGTCTAACCAAATGGTCAGCTCCTGCTCACTAGCTACATGACACAATACACAATGAAAGAACAATCTTCCAGACATAAGGGAAGTCCGAGTGTCATGTGACGGACATTCATCTTTGGCTAAGATTTGGAAGGGACTTGGTATTGAAGCCATAGAGTCATATTATGGACTGTCCTAAAAGCATCATCTCTTACTGCATCTATTAACCTTTTGAGAAGGTGGCCAATGTTTTTCAGTCACATGTTAACAGTTGTTCTGTGCATGCATATTAAGCATTTTTGCACGAGGTTCATCACTTGCTCGCATGATACGGCTGTTAGCCTAAGATTACTTATGAGTGCCAAAGGTCATGGTGTAAGAAAAATTTAAAAATATTCTTCTGAATTATTTTATTTTTACATTACCATATTTGCTGAAGTAGTTTATGCATGTTTTGACCTAAAGAATCATGTATGAATTTGTGGCGTCTAAAGTATACAAATAGTGCTTTTCAGAGTATAGTTTTTTCACATGTTTGATTGAGGTGAATGTGATGTGGCAACATGGTATGGATATTTGCACCTTTGGATTCCAGCATACAGTTTCTTGACAAGCAGCAAAAAGAACATTTCCTTAATAAAATTTTGACTGATACATATTTTTTTGCAGAAAATGTGATTTAAGTGGCATGTGATATGGTTACATGGTATATTCATATATACTGACTCCACCACATAATTCATTCGTTAACATTAGGGTAAAAATGCCTCTTGACCAGATCATAATTTTCATTGGAAAAATAATTAGATTTTCCCATATCATATTTCATAATACATTTATCTTGTCTCATTTTTTGCAAAAAATATGGGCGAGTCAAATGTTATTGAGGGTAAAAATACGGTATAGAGCTCTTTCCCCTGAAATTTCTGGTCTAAGAGTAAGGGTATATAAATTATGGGACTAAATACAATAACATTCATAATAGAGAATTGAAGTTTACTCATATAATTAAGAAAAAATATTGGAAATGAGGATTTAAGTCCATTCTGGAAACTCTGCTGCAGTGTTTGCAGACAACATTAACAGCCATGGCTACCATACACATTAGCAAGAGTAAAGTTGTGCCATGAAGACATATGGGGGATTGGAGGTATAGTTCAATCATTCTTGACCTCGGCACTAGACAGAGGTGATATTAGGTCCATGGCAGGAAACCGAAGATGGCTAGGAAAATTGCATGTCTTTATTCAAGGTGAGCGCAAAAGAAGTTTACAATGTCAACATTTCTTTTTTCAAAGGACTCGGTCAAGATACAACATCTGAACAATCAGACATTAAACTCGCCATTGTCAAAGTTTATTTTACATCTTAGAGGTGTTTAATATGTGTACTGTTGGTAATTCAGTGCAACTCAAGTTAGTATTCCAGTTCTATCCATAAATTTTCCAGCAAAAGGAGCTTTCCCTTTACACAAACAACCTCTCACAGAATTGTTTGTAAAACGCACAAATGGATGGCTTAGAAGTTAGACACAGTCCAGATTCAATCCGAAGGCATCGTTGCACTTTTTTCACTTTTAGTTCTGTTAAACCACAAGAAATGTCTATTTTTTTTAAGAGGTGTCACTATTTCCTTGGCAGCAGATCATGACAACTGCATGTGCACACTTTCATTCAAAACATTGACGGTGTAATTTGAAGTCCAAAAGTTTGAATGTATTTATTATATTTGCCTGTTTGTTTCACAGTAAATGTTGTGCTCATTTTGTGTATGAGAATGATTTGATTCTTCTAGTGAAACGTACTTTTACTCTCTTCCACCAAGGCGGCTTGCATCACAGGATTCAGCTGAGGCATGGACTCCCAGAGATAAACATGTTAATAGGTTTCTTTGTTAATGTTGGTTGTTGCAGTGGAAATGACTGTTAGGTCACTTCCTAGGGTATACTTGGAGCGTGCACTCAAATTTGTGGCATCAAGCCTGGAGTCCACATGCCACATTGAATTCTACCTGATTTGGGTGCAGCATCTGGTGACGGTGTATGGATCCACATTTCAGGCCAATTCCAGGGAAGCTCAGGTGACACCCATCCTGCTGACTCTGCAGAAGAATCTGACAAAGAAGTATGAGGAACTTGCAAAAATGTGAGTGAAGTCTGAGGTCGTCATTTTACTTTGGAGTTAGGTATCTTTTCTGTGTATGGGATTCCAGGTTTTTGGTGGTGAATGTTTACGAGGTGTGTTCAAAAAATGACGGGAATTTCCGTATTTTGGAAAAAATATTTATTCATTCGTCTACATTAATGTTGTCGCCTTCAAAATAGTCCCCATTCGATATTATGCACTTACGCCAGCGCTTCTTCCAATCATCGAAACACTTCTCAAACTCGATTTTTGGGATAGCCTTTAGCTCTTTCAGCGATGCGCTTTTAATGTCATCTATGCTTGTAAAACGACGGCCCTTTAAGGTTCTCTTTATTTTTGGAAATAGGAAAAAGTCACACGGAGCCATGTCTGGCGAATATGGAGGCTGGGGCATCGTTACAGTATTGTTTTTGGCCAAGAATTCACGAACAAGCAACGAAGTGTGAGCAGGTGCCACGCGTTTCATACCCAAAACATTCGAAAAAATTTCATGGCATGAGCCAATCGATATGCCAACATCATCAGCGACTTCTCTGATTGTGATTCGGCGATCATTCATAATCATTGCTTTCACTTTTTCCACGTTTTCATCGGTTGTTGATGTGCTGGGGCGTCCGGGGCGCTCGTCATCTGCAACGTCTTCACGGCCATCTTGGAAACGCTTATACCACTCGTAAACTCTTGTTTTACTCATAACAGACTCACCATAGGCCTTTGTTAACATTTCACACACTTTGTAACACTTTATTTCATTTTTTACGCAAAATTTGATACAAATTCTTTGATCCATTTCTTTTAACAAACGAAAATCGCCAAGCTCATAAAAACACGTCTAACCTTAGCGGCTGCCACAGACAAAGTAAGCAATGAATACAGCTGAAAATTTTATTGTACTTCAGGGGCATGTATACCAACATAATAAAAAAAAATTTTGACAATTGGACTCTCCAAACCCGCGAAATTTTAAAATTCCCGTTATTTCCTGAACACACCTCGTATGTTACTGTCTTAGGGGTTGTGAGGCTTGATTGATGGTTCTGAAGACATGGACAGCACATCTTTTGAAACACTGGGCACATTGAAGAATGCTGTCTTCTGGAATGTGGCGCCGTGTAGATATTTCGACTTTAAGCGTACTGTGCATTATAGGATATAAGTGTATGTATTTTAAATTAAAACACCTATTGTGATGGTAGTTTCCAGTTTGTAATGATTTTCCATCTGAAGATGGCCCATAAGGACTGAAACATGTAAGGGAGATAAGTTTTAACGTAGTGAAAACTTATGTCACATTGGATGTAGTGGTTTGTATTTATTATTGTAGATATTTTGTTAACCGACGTTTCGGAGGAATGTATCTCCTCCGTCTTCAGGGTATAAGAAATCTGCAAGAGATGAACCAGCATGAGCAGGTGTCTGCAGACTGAGTGCCAGTCAAGACACCCAGCTATGTAAGAACAGGAGGGGAAGGAAGAAGGGCCACAATGGAAGTGAATAGAGAGGAGAGGGGAAGGGTCTGAGGATATCGGCCAGCAGGTAGCAGGTTCGTGTCAGGGAAAGGGAAAGACAAGGTTACCATGAGAAGATTGACCCAATAGCCTTGGAGCTAAACTGCCAGCCGTGCCTTGACCTGCATAGCCTTGTGGATCTGGTGTCATGTTCCAGAGGTTTCTTGAGGGAGCAGATGAGAGGCTTCCATGACTTGCTGAGATGAAACCCCACCTCTCTGTTCATATTGTCGGGATGGAGTTCAGTCTCAATGACTTCCCTAATGATGCGATCCGTGTACTGGGTCTTGGTGGCGAGGATGGGAGTATTGTGAAGCTGAATGTGGTGTCCAAAGTCAACGCTGTGTTCAGCCACGGCTGACTTGTCTGGATGTTCAAGTCAAATGTGCCACTGATGCTTCTTCAACCTCGTGTCCATGGAACAGCCTGTCTGCCCAATGTAGACCCTGCTGCACTCACGGGGTATTCTGTATACACCCAGTGTTGTTAGTCCCAGGTTATCCTTGACCAGCCGAAGGAAACTAGATCATTTTTTCGGAGGCAGGCCCACTGATTTGATGTTGTGCCGGGACAGCACTCTGCTGATTCGGTTGAATACAGTCTTGACATAGGGCAAGAAGGAAACTGAGTCTAGTTTGCAGCCGGGCTGATATGAAAAAAATCACACTTATTCACTATAAACAGTGCGCTGAGTGTATAGGGGTTAAGCCTTCAGCATGGACTGCTGTGATGCTCTATCAGTTCTGTGTATACTTTCAAGAAGTGCACACTGCCTTGCCCACTTGCACTTAATCTGGAAATTGTAATGTGTTACGTCAACTGACCAAGACAGTGTCACATGTAGGTGTTCATGGTTGCTTTAGAATTCCATGCATGACTTTTCATACTGGCACACACAGAAAGTGTTACCATACTACTTAATTACAAATTGTGTTTTGTTTCTGTTCAACTTGTAGATGTGACTTCAATAAGTACACACTTCAGTACCTTGCAAAGCTTGGAGAGATGAAAAGTGCTATGAAGGTGCCAGAGGAGATGCACATTGACAGTCTGACAGGTAACCTGCCTTCAGCATTGTTTAATCCGTTGCACTTGAGGTTTCTGGGTACATGCAAATCCATAGTGGCTGGGATCATTTTAGGAAAAATCAGTATCGAACACTATATTTTGAAGATGGACTCTTGGCATAAGCTGCAATCCATCCAGGTATGACATGGAATCATTTCTTAAGCTGAAGCTGTTTGGTTAGAATGGCATATAACAGTGATGTATCATCTCATGACAGACATTAGCTTCAACTTTGACCTTTTTCGCTTAGTGGGGGGTGGAGTCCAACTAGGTCCACTCGGCACGGCGGCCACTGAGTGGCCTATTGTACCTGCCCCGGGTGATCATGATGATAGAGAATTTTGTGGAATGNCCAGCACCACTTTGTCCACCACAAATTTAACTTTACCAGACCCAGGATCGAATCTGGGCCACTGTGGTGGGAAGCCAGCAACTAACCGCTTGAGCTATGGCGTGGCTGTACTTTGACCTTTGTAACAGCTGTCCTATAATGAAGAGAAGGCAAGGCAGTTACAAAGGTCCACCCACATTTACTGTGTGATGTGTAAATGTGGGCATGATTTTTGGATGATTATGGCACACAGAATCTCAGATGTCCAAAAGTGAACAGTAGAATGGTCAAGATCAGCCCATTTATCAGTGATTTGCCTTGCCTTCTCTTCACTGGACGACTGTAGCGAGGTTTATGGGTGACTGACAGGGAATATATAGGTCACGCATGTACAGTCTGTGGGGTCGTGTGGATTCTGAATGTTTCTGACAGTGGTGTGTAACACTTGGGACTTACAGTTTGCAGACTGCCTATCATCTGGTATTCTAAACAGCACACAGTGTTTTGGAAACTGGATGTTTACCTAGGTAAAAGGATGGGAGGCATCTGCCCCACTCCCTCACCTGAGGATCAAACAGATCCAGGTTCCAAATCACCGTGTGCTTTAGAATACCGGATGATGAGCAGAAAGCCTGTAATACCAACTGTTCAAAAGAGTGAACCTCAATCACTGGACCACTGGGCACCAATCGCTGTCCAGTGTCTGAGGTGAGCTCTTTCTGACACACCAAACAGAGCAGGTGCCTGAGATGAAACAGATCCAGTTTGTGAAACTGTATGTTTTAGAACAGCAGATGATGGACATTAAAAGACACACGTTTTCCGTGGAAAATGTGTGTAGAGCCGGTGTCTTGTAGTCTTAATGTAGACCAGATTTTCCCCCCTCTAACATCTGGATACATCTTAATGTATGGTAGTGATTCATTCCCAAGTTCTACTGTCTGTCTCTCAGTTAAGGTGGAAGCATTTGAAGAAGATAGATCCTTCCTGAGCCTTCACTTTACTGTGGGCTCCAGATATCAGTGATGGTCCCATTAAGGTTTCCTCATTAGGGATTTCCTGTACATCACTGAAGAGCACGACTTTTCTTCTAGGTGCTGACGACGGATGATTCAGGCAGAGCGGCTGAAGGGCGTATTTCTACAGTCATCGTCGATGTTCAGAAAATTAATGTAATGTAAAATAGAATAAATATTTTATACTTCAGTCTTCTCAGTTCTCCCATATTAACACACTGCTCTTAGCCCTTATCATCTGTGTCACACTCCTGTGGTGGGGCATGTGCATGGTCCAGCCGGCCTAGTGTTACATTATTACTTTCTCATATATATGGTATGAGAAAGTACTGTGGCTGTGAGAAATATTGATCTTCAAATTTTCATAGATTTACATGTTTATCATCAAACAGGCAAAGGGCTTTATATTAGGACCCTCTGCCAGAAGAACGAATGTTCCGTTGAAATTAAACCGAGACTAAAGAAGATGGGAGGTAAGATTACTTACTGGACACTGCCACCTAAAAGGTCACCTTTTCAAACTGGTACTGACAGATGACCCAACTTAGGAAAGGGGCCTACAAGGGGGGAGATGCCCCCCCCTCCCAAGTGTGTGTGTGCGCGCGCGCGCAAAAATGAGGTATTTACTGAAAAGGATGTCTGAAACTTGTCATGGGAGGCAGTCTGCTATAGAGTATAAATAATAACTGTGGTCTCTCAAAGTTGCTCCATATTTCTGACATGGTGGAAACAAAATGAAGTGGCAGCAGATTCATGTTAACACTGCTGGCAGTATTACTTACTTCTGGAGCTGAGCCCTTCTTGAGGAGAAGCCAAATCTGCAGCTATTCAAGGGTTTCCCAGCATTTTATGGAACCCGAAGGTTCATTACACTGTTCACAAGAGCCCTCCGGTGGTCTCTATCCTGAGGCAGACCAATCCAATCCATACCATCCTATCTATTATCTAATATCCATTTTAATATTGTCCATCCACCTATGCCTTGGTCTTCCCAGTGGTCTCCTCCCTTCTGGCTTTCCCACCAATATCCTATATGCATTCATCTCCCATTCGTGCTACATGCCCTGCCCACATCATCCTAATTATACCTGGAGAAGAGTACAAGTTATGAACCTCCTGTCACTTCATCCCTCTTCAGTCCAAATATTCTCAACACCCTGTTCTCAAATACCTTCAGTCTATGTTCCTCCCTCAATGTCAGAGACCAAGTTTCAGACCCATACAGAACCACAGGCAAAATTATAGTTTTGTATATTCTAATTTTTATGTTTTGGGACAGCAGACGAGACGACAAAAGGTTCTGGGCTGAATGGTAGCAAGCATTACCTGAGTTCAATCTCTTCTTAATTTCCTCCTGAATCAGGTTTCGATTTGTTATCGTCCTTCCCAAGTATATGAACTGTGTCATATTTTCAAAACATCTGTTTCCTATCTTTATGTCCTGATTTTGCCCTGCATTCTGGTGACAAGACAGCAACATATACTTAGTTTTCTCTGTGTTTGTTTTTTTCTTTATGGTACTGCTTGCAATATACAGAAATAAAATCACCAAACACCGCCAAAAGTTAATCAACTTTCTCACTTGTCTATATATATGTGAGGGAATATTGGAAGGTTACTTTCATGACCAGTGAAGTGCATGCAAAAGACTGGATGGGAGATTCTGCATCATCCACCATGCAGTCCTACTCTGGACACTGAAAAATGTCTTGTGGGTCTTCTGTTCAAACAGGATTTTGAGGTCATGGAAGGAACAGAGCGCATACTTCTTAAAAGATGGCATCAATAAAGTGGTGTACCCATTAGACAGATGTTTCAGTGCACAGGAATATTATGTGGAAAAGTGACTTTAGTGTGGACTACAATCCTAAACATGCAATATGCTAATTTTACATATGATCTGAGAGAAACAAATTTATGAAAGTCACTTTCTGATATGCCCTTATACCTTTAGAGAAGTAGGAAATGATAACATGGACTTTGACGACTCCAGTAGCTCAGCATAGGGTCCAGTGAATATAGCAACAAAACTCTGGGTGAAGAATTTGTTGACAAGGTGAGGGACTATCATCTTCTCATGAAGTATTCTTTCATGGAATCAACTGTTAGATGCAAGAGTGATCTGAATGTAATGGAATGTGTTTATAATTGCCAGAATTCCTTAAGGAGGGTCACAGAATCTTGAAAGAACAGAGTATCTCAGCAACAGATGCAACAAGTGGCAGGCTTGACAGATGTGCTATCCCACTGCAGCGGTGCTGAAACGGACTTCTGTGGCACTATGTTTATAAGGCTTATGAAAATAAGGCAACAAATTCATATACAAGCATGAACCTGAACACCATAGGCTAAACAGAAAATAAATGACACATATTTCACTTTGACTCAAATTAAAAACATGAAAAAAGAGCAGAGGAAGGACAGGTATATACACTTATGCCCCAATTTAAGATTTCTTTGGGAGAAGCACATTTGAACACTACATTGAGTAAACTCTTAAATAGAGGCAATTTAACTCTGAGATTACTGTCTTTGGATCATTGAAATTGAATGCTAAATGAGGGAAAACATTAAATCAAGAACATCAAACAGTGGTTCCAATATAAATAGAATTATATATTTCATCACAACTGTTTAGAAAAAAATTTGTTTCTTAATTTTCAACACCCTAAAACTTTCTTTCAATTCATTCCCATACATTTAATGTACTTGGGATATAAAACAATGTTAAAAAGGACAAAGCAGACTGTACATTATAAACAAAGGTATACATTTTTCTTCTGGCTAAAATAAAATACAACTTCAAAATAGGTTTCCATGTAGTTCAGACTAAATCTTGGCCATGGGTTTGTAAATGTATTGCTAATTGCATCCAGTACATCTACATTAAGACCACTCAATAGTTCTGCTGAAGCTCTTGTAGGGAGCTATCACAACTGAAAAGTGTTTTGTGAACAATACTTCATAAAGCAGTAAGAAAAGCTGGGGTGATTATCATGAGGAATGATGCTTACCATTAGAAAATCTGTAAATACCTAACTCTGATGAACTTATATTATGTCCTATATCATTAAGAACATGAAACACAACCACCACATAAGTCTGTAATTTTGGCACATGCAGAAAGGCAACATTTTAATGATAAGCAATAAAAAATGTAAATTTATGAAGTGCTGCTGCTCCAGTTGTAAATCAAAGAATTAATCCTGTGAGATATAATGCAATTTATATTGGCAGCAATGACTTATACTTTACAGCTGTCAGTTCCTCAATTAAAAAAAAACCAAGTACGAAAATTTCCTTCACAGAGGAGTACCAACATATCATGAGATAATGAAATCCTCAAAATGACAGGAAGTTTAAGTTATTCAACCCATAGGCCGTTACACAATGACAGATGGTAGGACTCTGTTTACAAACAGAAAGTTACATTGTGCAACAAGTTCACAAACAAGCCTGAAATTTGTCACAAATTAACTAAACCTTCTCATAATGCTTCACTTCTTTTGTAATGGTATATAGTCCATTAACTTTATTGTTTGCAAACAGGGGATTTAATTCTCATGCTATTACAGTGCTGGTGGCTGGATTTTAACTTGACAGTAATGATATTGCTCTTGAAAACAATGCAACACTAGGCATGTTGGACCACACATGTACCATCACAGTGGTACAATGCATGGACAACAAAGGTTAACAGTTGTATTGTCTTCACTCATAAGCATGTTTTACAGTAACATATCAACTTCTCTAAATTGTTTGTAAGTGGACACCTATGGTCTGATAAACAAATTTCTCACTACAAAACATGCAAAGAAGAGCAACTCCAGTCTACACCAGGAAACATAGTAAACCAGTTTAAACATACACCTCTTATACAGAAGGTTGCATTAAAAGTACTTGCAAATGAATGTTTCTGATAACAAGCATAATTCCTCGTGTTGAATACTGTTATGGCCCTTGGAGCCCAATTTTATACCCAAATGGGTAAGAAATCTTGGAAAAGGTGCAGTCAAACTTATGGAACAATTCTTAGACCCACGTACCCATAAATTAAGCTCATTATTGGTACATATTTCAGTGGCATCAGGTGGTTCTTTTAAATAAAAATAACAAAACACTAAAGCAGACTTCATGAATATACATATATATACAAAATTCATATATTTATGATGTCACTTTGCCAACCTTTTCAGCCTTAATTACATCACTAGTATTCCTCTGAATACATTCTATAAAGATCATAAATAGGGCTGAATTGAAGATGCCAAAACAAGAAAAAATGAACTATAAACTATAATAACCTACTACCCACTTTAATCATAAGCACCATCTTCATTTAGGACATTAAAATAAACTTTGTAGCTTCTTTGTAGAAACAGCAGGGTTAACAAAGCTTTAAATATCTCTTTACTGTAACAGGAACATTTCAGCTACTTAATTATGTAACTTCATGAGGGAAGCTTGCTCATAAATCTAATGACAATATCACAGTATGGAACTAGTTATTAAAAAAAAAAACAATAATAAATTGCAGGGCTGCAATTCTGTAGTCAGTGGTCTGATTGGTATACGGCATCAAGACAACTGTTAACATGGAAACCCAGCAGGTTTACCGTGCACTTACAGTACTTGCTTCCATCCATAATTAAGTTGGCAATTCTAGTTATGCAGTTTAATGTTTCACAGTCAAAGAAATGGTGGATTTTGCAAATACAGTGCCTGAAACTTGACAGACATGAAATAGGAAACAATGCATTTTGCATAAATTGGGGCTACTTGGAAAATATTTCAGTGTAGTAATTTATACAAACTGGAAAGTCAGAAGTACCTTTTATTCTTATGTGATGTAATTATGGTGGCAAGCATGATGCCATGAAGACTTGTATGGATGTGGACATACAACTGAACACAACCATGGCACCAGAAGCAGAGGAACAGTCAGCTTCATACTGTGTTCTTTTGCAGCACAATATTTTGTGATGACGTACATAAACTTAGGCCATGAAACTAAGCTTCTCAGCATCATAATAAATTAAATGAATTATGTGAGACCACAAAATAAGGACTATTATACAAGCAATTTTCTCTGTTGAGTCAAAAATGATTTAACAGCAATCGCAAATTCTGGCAGCAAACAAGACTAGTTTCACATTACCATAATATGTTTCACTATACACATTTAGAAGCTGAAAGAACCCAAAGGACCTGCAAGAAATGCCATCCACTTTCAACTTTTAGTGATGTACAAGTTCTAGTGTGAGAAAATATAGAATGCAGCATAACATTCAGATGGAAATGTCAACGTAGAGTACAAATAATATTGTAAAAGCAGAACTGATATACGTGTATGTTACTGCTGACATGGATTATTAAAATGAAATATCTGTAATGGAGAATAAAAATGGATCATTGGTGTTCCAGATAAAATCCTTACCAGGCAATGACTAATACATGTCAGAAGTACTACCTGCCAAACCTGTTTGGTGGTTGTCTTCCACAATTCTTTCAAAACACACTGCAATGGTTAGGAGCAAAATGACATAACACTTTCTGTTAAAAAGTAAAGTAAAGGTATCCCTGTAACAGGCCGTAGAGGCCCATAGGGTTGTGAGATGTTGAGGTTCCCACATTTTCTAGACATTCGGCTCATAGATGGTGGCAAGGTTGTCAGCCCTATGTGCCAGCCGCCCTTTATCCCCAAGAATATTCCTGGTACTCATTTCTGTTAGAGGCTGAGTCGACACCAGGGCCATAGTGCGACTTGAAGGATTACCTCAATTGAAAAAAATCCAATCACCTCATCAGGACTTGAACCCGCTACCTTCCGGCTTGTAGCATAATGCCTCAACCAACTACACTACCGCGTGCCCCTCCAGTTATCAAGTGCTACTACAAGTAAAAAAATAAATCATGAAATATATGTGATAAAGAAGTGGACACCTTAACAGGACACAAGTAAAAGTGGATGAAATGTCTATGACGTAACACCTGGAAATCGCCTTACAAATCATTCTCCCTTGACACCACCACATATTTGTTTCTGTACAGTAGTGGAGAACGTAAGGCAATAAACTTACTATTCTACTAAAAAATTGTCACTATTCCATTTACCTTCCAAGCAATCGCTTTACTGTTTCTTTTATACAGGTGTAATTGTTTTTCCATATTTAGAGGGAAGACCATAAACTACAAGATCCTGAAAAGGGTCACAAAAAACTGTACCTGACTGGCATGTAATAACGAAGGACATTGCATAATTAGATCTGGTCATCACTCTAACACACTTTCACTGAATTATCCAAGCTCACTAAACATTAAATACATGTCAACATTAGTGGGTTCCTGGACTCTGTCCATCACTTAGTATTTCAAGCAAAACATAATGTTCCAGAAACTATATCTGTTCCAGCCTCAGATGTAAAGGACTGAGGTCAATCTAGTGACTGATCAGCAGTATTTAATGGCCACAAATGAACGGGTATCTTCCCACACTTTCACTTACTTTCACCTGAAACATGCTCTGTTCAAAATATGAGATAACAGACAAAGCCCAGAAATCAAGTAATACTGGGCATAATATACCATCATCAAAACCCTTCAGAATTGATCAAACACAATGAAACATCGGCATAACAATGTGCAGGTGACAATCATATTCTTTTAATAAAATTTCATCATGAAGATTTCTATCTTCTGGAATATAATGCTGTGTAGCCTGTTGAAAGTCAACCAACGTTTCAGAGGAATGTGTCACCTCCGTCTTCAGGGTCAAAGAATAAGCCAAGCAAGGAGGAGGTGGAAAGCTTGCTATCTGTCGGTAAAGGTGTTCTAATGAAAGCCGCAGGGACGCGCATGTTCTCAATTCAGCTGAAAAAGGAGAGACTGTAACAGTAATAGCATGCTGCAATGATGAAGGCAATATTTGATGTTTTGAACAGTGTCAATATGAAGGCTGAACTTAAAGATGGTATGCCATAGGGTCAATGGTAACAATGTTGGGATGATGTTTTTATGGAGTGATTTCAGTGCCATTTCATACCTCAGAAACCATCAGGAATAGTCCCACTGGAAAAATTTGTGATACCTGAGCAGATATTAATCTTGTCCAATGACCTAACACCCCAAGAAAATGGCAAAGACCAAGGACATCTGTTTATAATGAAGTCATACTGAAAACTTGGCTAAGAACATAACATCCAGAAATATTCTGAACAAAATTTCATGTGTCCCAAAGATGCCAAAATTTTACAAAATGATCCATGTAGTGGAAAGATCACTTAGAAGTGGTGGACAAGTTTGCATCTGTAAAGTCCAGTTTGAAGGCATACGGGCTGCTCCACCTTTTATCATCCAAGCTGATCAACTAGTGCAGCCCTGCAACTAACTTGAACCCAGAAGGATAGAGACCACTGGGAAGGCCAAGGTGCAGGTGGGTGGACAATATTAAAATGGATCTTATGAGGGATAGGATGGGATGGTATGGATTGCATTGATCTGGCTCAGGACAGGGACCAGTGGAGGGCTCTTGTGAACATGGTAATGAACCTCTGGGTTCCACAAAATGCTTGGAAATTGTTGAGCAGCTGCAGAATTGGTGGCTCCTCCAGAAGGGCTCAGCTCCGTAAGCAAGTAAGGGGTACTGGGACCACAGTATGAGAAACACTGCTTTAGAAAGTCATACTGTACTCTTGTTCTTGCTCACCTAAGTTCCCCACACCTGTTGCTAACACACTGACTGCATTCAAAGCAAAATAAACTTCCGTCTGTTGTAGCATTTCACAGCCTACATGAAGTAATAATTTATTATGATTCATGACATGAAAAAGGTCTGATAAACTATGAAGCAGCTAAGCTTTCATATATTATAATTACAGCCGTTTCCACCAAAATGACAAATAGCGCCACTTAACAAACTGATCCAGAGATCTAAAGCTTGGCTCCCATATATTTCCCTTAGAAGCAGTTATCATATTACTGTCATGTACAGCAAGTACTGTACTAATTTATATACATGTAAAAAAAATCTTAATATTGCAATGGAGAATTATACTTCAGATATCATTACTTTGGACAAGTGTTCCTTGGAATGTCATTTGTCCATGCTTTCTTGTACTGAATATGTCAGCAGATTGTCTTAAAATTTGGTAATTGTGTTTATATCATAAAAAGGCATTCTATAAATATGAATTTAATTCTTAAAATTGATTTTATATAAAATGGCGATTTCCTCAACAATGAAAAACATTTGAATAAAAGTGTGGGCAAAGGGATATGAATGTCTAAAAATTGTGATTAAATTAATCTTATTTACAGTCACAAATAACATTAAAATCTCCTAATGTCACTAGGAAATACTTTTGATTAGCATATACAAAAATATATGAATAAGTTTGTTTAACATATCTTATACTATTTTAAGCCCATCCAATTCATACAATTATAAAATATAAATATATATATCCATACATATACAGCAAATATAAATATATGACAAACTAGATGCAGTAAGTAATACATTTACTTTGTATGGCTGACATATCAATCAGCTTGAGTTTGTAATATAAAGAACAAACATGGGAACACGAACACTTGTTTTATCTGAAAATTTGGTTCAGTAGATTGGTCGAAAGCTATTTCAGAATGACAAATGGAACACATACAGAGAAACTGATAACTTTTCACACAGGAAACAAGCCAAAGAAGTATAATCTCAAGAAAAGGAGACATTACTAGACCAGTGTTTGCTTGTCACGTGAGGTAGAAACAGAAATGCACGGTTCTATCATGCTGTCTACTTAAAAAACAAAAGAATATGCTACTGTATGATTTCTTCAAAGCCTCTATATATGCCAATGAGCTTACCAGATGCCCTCACATAAGAGATCACCAAAACTCATGTAAACCAATTCCTATATCAGCCACAGCCTGCTCCTGTGTAATTGCAGCTAATTCCTTCAGCCATTCATTGAGAAGCACAGCACACATCACAATGTTTCGCAGCTCTGCAGTTTCCGACATAAGAAGAGAGTGATTTATATACCTGCAATAAAGAATTTACTTTCACTGACAAGATTGGGAAGTTGCAATCCACACAACAGTGAACATGGTCTCCATATGCATACTCAACATACTGGAGCTCTGAATGCTCTTAGCTGTTCTCGGTACCTACAGTTACCATCATTACTGCTGATCAGCACCAGTGATGCTCCCACTACTGACACTTGTACAGAATTATAAGTATGGGTGTCAGGTGGTTTTCAGTGACACAGTTCATTTCAAATTCATCCAAATCAATTCAGAAGCTCTCAACCTAAAATGTGCAGGACAGATATGATCATTACTATATATGACGGCTATTCAAAAAGTATAAGGTAAGGTAGAGCTATTCCTGTAACAGGCCGTGAAGACCCACAGAATTGTGAGACACTGAGCCTCCCACATTTTCTAGATAATCAACTGACAGGTGGCGGTAAGGTTGTCAGCCTTAGGCGTCAGCCACCCTCTACCCCCCCGTTAAGATTCCTGGTACTCATTTCTGTTAGAGGCTCAGTTGAACCCAGGGCCGTAGTGCGGCTGGAAGGATTAGGTCAATCGAAAAATCCAATGACCTCATAGGGAATTGAATCACAACCTTCTGGCTTGTAGCATAGTGCCTCAACCAACTTAACCTCCATTTATTTTAGGCAACTAATGTAGGACAGCAGAACAGTTCACACATGCAAGGTACTGTCCCAGGACTCATTACCTTGTAAACCATCACATAACTGGACACCTATTATTTGTTCTTGTCTCTACAGAGTGAGTTATGATGTGTCCTGTGATTGGTAATCCCACCAGATGTGGATATCCATTGTGAATCATAATCCAGTCCTCATTACCCCATACTATACCTCTAAGATCCATTCAATATCCTACCTATGTCTAGGTGTTCCTAATGACCTCTTTCCTTCTGGTTTCCCACAGAAACGCTGTACACATTCCTTCTCTCCCTCAAATGCTACACACATTGCTCATCTCATCCACCTTCACTTTTCATTCTAATTATATTTGGTTACCAGTACAAGTTATGAAGCTCCTCATTATGCAGTCTTCTTCCTACCATCCCATCCTTTTTTGGTCCAAATATGGCCGTACCATAGCTCAAGTGGTTAGTCACTGGCTTCCCACTGCGGCGCCCTGGGTTTGATCCCAGGTCTGGTGAAATGGGATTTGTGATTGACAAAGTGGCGCTGAGGCGGGTTTTCTCCAAGTACTTTGGTTTCCCCTGCCAATCCTCATTCTAAGCAAATTCTGGTCCAAATATAATGCATAATAACTGCCAGTCAAATTCATTTCAGTTCAGAAAGGCAAGCCATTACATTCTCTCACCTGTAGGAACCAGACCCAGGTCCTGAATTCTCCAACTGACTCTCCCGAATGGTTTGGGGCGGAGCACGCCGGAACACTGACGACAATGCTGAGGAGAAACTGCGTCTTTTTGGTTCCCCTACAAGTACAGCGAAAACATGAATGCAGATCCCTGTCTCTTATGGTCTGGTCAGTTATAATAATGTACTTTCACCTCCATGTAAGTTTTATGATAGTTGACACTTTATCAGGAGCAGAAGATCCATTGAGATATTGGGGTTTTGGACTTTATCCATCATCCTGGTTTTAAGATAACTAAGAAAAACACATTTCAGAAACTGGATCTGTTTCCGTCCTCAGGTGAGGGAAAACACATATTCTGTTGGGTCCCTTAGAAAGAGCTAGCCTCAATCACTGGACGATGGATAAAGTCCGAAAACCCAATATCTCTGTGTGTCATACACCATCGTCAGAATCCTATAGTAACTAGAAGATCCATTGTTTTGCACATGACCAGTAACCTTCACTGTGTGTGCATCACACAACTGAGCCAGTGCATGCACAGGGTCAGCAAATATTAATATTAAAATGCATATAAATCATAATTATTTTTCTTATTATTCTTTTCATTTAAAGAAAAAATGCTTCCTGGTCCTTTAGCGTACATTCCTTAAACAGGCACAACAGTTTAGATGTTAAAAACCATCCAACATGAGCATATTCAACATAAGTGTGACAGCCAGACCCAAGTGTGCTGGGATTACTAGGTTTTTGGACTCTGTCCATCATCTGGCATCATAAGGGATGTAACATTTTGAAAACTAGATCTGTTTGCATCTTCAGGTGAGGGGGTGGGAGACACCTACTCTGTTGGGTTCATTAGAAAGAGCTAACCTCAATCACTAAACCTATTTCAGCTCTTTCCAATTCACCCACCAGAATAAGTCTTTCCCACCCCCTCACCTGAGGATGCAAACGGATCCAGTTTCCGAAATGTTGTGTTCTTTAGACCCTAGTAATCCACAGTAATCCCTTTCCAATTTTCATTTGCTCATTCATTATCAAATTGTAGTTGTTATCTGAAACCACAACAATGACTTGTGTTTGATCTTGTTACAGTCTGGTGCAGGCCACTATCTGCACTGTGCCACTTAAGGAGACACTTAAAGGATGTAAACAGTCTGTAATCTGTAACAAAATTATGGACAGGAAAGTTCAGTTTTCAACATCTGATAAACCAAGAAAGCTAGCTCTAGTGGTAATGTTCCTGGCTTAGAATATCTGCATTACATCGCCTATCCAGACTGATGATTTCTGTGGACTTCCTCCGTCCCTGCAGTAAAATGTTGGGACAGCACAACAAATTACATCACAACCACCTCCTTCCAAACCCTTTCCAATTCATTACTTACTGATCACTCTGCTATCTGATATTAAACATGCTGAGCTACTGGGAGTGTCGTTAAATAAAACACCTGATAACGACATATGTAACTGCATAAAGAATGACAGTGTTCTAAACAGAAAGAAGAACAAAACACGGTACCTCTCAAGAACTGGTCGCTGACCAAAGAGCTTCTCCTACTGCTGTTATTGCTACTGTTACTGCCATTATTAATGCTGGGGTTACTGACATTGACTGTTGGATTTAATGCTTCCAGTGCATGCTTCCTTGCATTAACCAGCTTGTCTTCACGCCCCACAAGGAAATCTTCAGCCTGCGCTACCAGTTCTTCAATACATTGTTGCCGGGCCAGGTTCTGGTCGATCTTCTGTTTCAGTGAACCCAAAACCTGTATATTGAAATGAAACAAACACTACTTGTAGGAAGGAATACACAAATATTGCGATTCAGATAATGAGACCATTGTACCAAATTTATTTTGAACACCACTGTCTTCCATGATGTGATGTTGTGCAGTCTGGTAAAAGTTCACTGTGTTTCAGTGGCATGTACTGCCTCCATCTTTAGGGCAAAAGAGTACTCCAAGCAACCAGCAAGTGCACTACCCTTTTGATTTGCATGGCTTATTCTTTAGCCTGGAAGGAGACAGTACAGACCTCTGAAACATTGGTGACAAAGCTGTATGGCATCACGGCCCAGAAGACGGTACACTTCATGCTTGCCGTTGTCAGAATCTAACATACAACACAATTTTATTTTGATCATGAGATGACATGACATTTTTGGCACTGCACTTGTTTTCAAGAGGAAAATGCAAAAGGACAGTTGGGTACCAATCTACAGGATCCACAATAAAAAAAAATCTACGTGACACTGGAAGACAGCATTCTAGGTAACACTGAAATACATAATTCTGACACTGAAGATGACATTCTCACTAGAGTACACTGAAAGACAGCATTCTAGGTAACACTGAAATACAGAATTCTGACACTGAAGATGACATTCTCGCTAGAGTACACTGAAAGACAGCATTCTAGGTACACACTGAAATACAGAATTCTGACACTGAAGATGACATTCTCGCTAGAGTACACTGAAAGACAGCATTCTAGGTACACACTGAAATACAGAATTCTGACACTGAAGATGACATTCTCGCTAGAGTACACTGAAAGACAGCATTCTAAGTGACATCTTTAAGCCCAGTGCCAACCCAACAGTAAAAGACTACATCCTAGATCCTTGTTACAGTGGATGGTGGTACACTTCTCTATCATCAATATGCAGTAAAGATAGTCTCTATGTTTAATTAAGCATCATACTGTTAAGATGCATGGGGGGAGTGAAGGTATAGCTTCACACATTTTTAATTTCAGCACTAGATGGCCGCTTCATGCCATGGTCAGTGTATACCCAGAGGAAACAGCATCATTGTAAACACTGGATAAGGACACAAAGACAGACTGGATGCTGTGGAGTGCAGAAACATTTCTTGCTTCTGCCTGGAATCAAATTCAGATTCCTTGGTTCTCCAGCTCATAGCCCAGTCAGTATACCAACTGAGCTAACCCAGCTCCCATCAGTATGGCACTAGGCTGTACAACTGTCTTGAAGAACAGGGCCACAAACTAATGTATGTCTTACTGCTTATGTTCAGGACAGTTAAGAATGTTTATACAATCAGTCTGACTACAGATTAATACACTTAGAGCTGATGTGCCACTAGGTTTTGCATCCGATCTTGTACTTCATATCACAGTTGGTAGATGGTTCTCCCATAATGCAGCATTAACAAAGAAAAGTTTAACAAACATGCCAAGAACAAGTCTGAAGGAAATATTATTGTTTCAGTATTTGAAAGCATGTCTACAAATCCTTACCTTTTGCTCAAAACAGCAAGGCCACAGATTTAGTCAAATTAATTTTCTGCTGGGCCTTAATCTGTTCATTAGTTTTTTAAATTAACCAAAAGGGAGATAACAGAATTTGATTGTAATCTACAGCAATAATCAGTTACCTGAAAAAGCGAGCGGATACTTGGCTGGAAGACAAGAGAGTGGTTGAGCAAGAAGGAGTGGAGTAGAGGCTGGGGATAAACAGCGAGTCGAGAGATAAGGCCAGTGAGATGCAGGTTAATGTACAGACTGTTCGACATCAAGGCTTCCAGCTTCTTTAGGATCACATCTAGGAATGGACCTGTAAACAAGAACACATATGTGCTAATTATACTGCACACCTGTGATGATGACATAACATTGTTTGGCATTAGTGAGCAGAGGGATTTATGACATACACCATTGAGATGGACTCAGGCGCCTTGATATACATACCAAATTTCATAAAGATTGGTTCAGCCATAAAAAACAAACCCCGTGACCTGTAGTCTGCAAGCAGACTATACCGACTGAGCGACCGCCGCTTTTCGGCATAGTTCGTGCCAACTTGAGCGGACAGAGGGTGTTGGGTGGTCAGTGCAATGAATCCCCACAACAGTTAATTTCGGTTTTCTAGACCATAGCCACTACTTCTCCATTCAAGTAGCTCCTCAATTATCCTCACGAGGCTGAGTGGACCCCGTTCCAGACCCACCACTTCTCAGAAAATCTGCTAGCACTGGGAATTGAAGTCAGGAACTCTGACCACTAGACCACAGAGGTGGTCATGTTAAGTATGCAAGATAATAAAATATATGAAAATAACTACATACCGATATCTGGTGTTGTATTGAAGATGTCTAGGTATGATCCTTCTCGGGAGAACTTCCTACTAAATTGCCACAGTTCAGACCTCGAATTTGAAAAATCTTCTGTTCGTGAATAAACAGAACTTCCACTGCCTAGTCGGTGGCGGGGAACATTTTTGTCTGATAGGCCTGTGCTTGTATTACTGACACTTCCCTCTGAGCTACTTTCTCTTGATGCATCCCTCAGCTCTGATAAGGAATCATTTTCCTTAGTTTTAGATTCACTCATCTGTGTCCTTGTGTCCATCGAGACACCAAGATCAGAGTCTGTTTGCCGATCGTCACACGGTTCGTTCTCAGGCGTAGACTCTGCTGAGCCTTTAAGAGCAAAACTTTCATAGCCACTACTTTCACCTATGGACGGTAAACTGTGGTAATTCGATGAAACATTCACGACATCATTGTTGCTACTGTTGTTATTGTCTGTATCAACAGAATTACTGCCGGAGTCACCTTCCTTTATTGCAGACATCACATCAGCCTTTTTGCCAGCAGGTCCTGCATTCTCTTCATCTTCAATGGCTGTCTTGCATGCATCACCCATCAAGGACACTGGATTGCTAGCATATCCCCCTTTGTGTTCTGTTGTCATGGGTATATTCTTTCGATCCTCTCTGTCAGGTACAGATTTCTTTATAACAGCTTTAACACCTTCATTTTTAACCGGTTCCCTTGTATTTACATCTTCTTGATGACAATGACTTTGGTTACTATCACAGGTCCTGTTCTCCCTCTTTGCAGTCAACGCGTCATGAGGCGGATTCTCTCCATCATATGGATAGGTCCAGTTTCCACAGGCAGCAGAACATTCTCTGATTCTTCTCCTTGCTTCACACAGGTATGCATGGTAATTTCCGTATAAGCTCTCACCTGCTTTCAAACCATACAGTGTGCTAGTGGACGGTAAGGATACTGGCTGATGTTCAGAAAAGGATGCACTACGTCTGTGATGGGAGGACAGGGTAAGCATGGTTGGCAGGGAAGGGCTGGATGAGATTGATGAATGTGGGGTGTAGTCAAGAGCAGCTGGGGGATGGAAGGCAGGAGGCGGCAAGCTGCAACACGCCGGAGACAAAGAGAGAAACTTGTCCGAACTACGACAGTAAGGGTCAATGTCACGAACTCTTTTCCTCTGTGACAACATCACGTGGGTGCACGGCACTAGATGACGAAAAACTAGCTCCAACATGATGTCTTCACAGTTAAGGTCCACTAGGGTCTCGAACAATGCCAAGGTCACCAAACATAACTGGAACAATAACATACAAATCCCATTTAGTATGAAAGTTTACCTTCAATTCATACTCAGGAACACCAGTTAAAGTCATTAAGTCTTAAGGTAATGGTCAAACACTATTTATATCTGTTTTCATTCCACTTAATGCTTCAGCAATAAAAACTGCATCATATTTTTAGCTTACTTTCTGGATTTTGCTGATCAATGAATGTATTAAAAGTAACCTGACATTTAATAAACCATGGGCTGAGCATCCAAATTGCCCACTGAGAGGCTGGTAGCAAACATGTTATGGAAACAAGAGGGCATATGAGACCATCAGTGCGGCCTGTGTATCCCTATCACTTTCTAAGCAACATGACCAATATTCATGAAATTAGGTATGAATATTATGTCTAACAATATGGCTAATGCATCATCTTGTGAGGCAGGAGAACACTAATGCCACTCAATATATGGTTTTGAATTGATGTGTGACGATAAATCTTCAAACAAATACATTTCAAACACCAACTTTCACGTAATGTAAACTATTCAATTTAATCATTTAAACTTATCCCAGTAAAACGTTTTTTCCAATAACAAACTCCTTCAAATCAAGTTACATTTCAAATACTAACAGCTCTGAAACCACTAAGAATAGGCCCCATATTGACATAACAGCTCCCAAAATTGTGATGGAGTTCCATGACAGTCCCCATGTAAGAATATGTTTTTCATTGATGTTTTTTTTAATAAACTGTACTGACATAATGAAATGGCTTATTTATTACAGTAATCTTAACAAGAGATACTACAGTTAAAAATGTTCTATTATTTACTGCCATGGTGCCTGTAAGTTACTGTTTTACGAACAAAACAGTTACCAGGCAATGATACAACTGTGGACATGTATCATTTTTACACTATGAAATGGTTAGAACTGACTAGAGACCAGATCAGGAACAGAGAAATGAGAGTAGAGATGGATGACACTGTATGAAAGGCTTTATACATAACACAAAATAACGATGATAAAAAAAGCTTTGAAATCAATTACCCGTGATTTGGTGTTAATCCTTTGAATAAGGCTATCAAGGATCCTCTCACCATCGTACTTATCCGTCAGCAAGAAGCGGATGAATGAATACAAGAGCCCAGGTTCTGTTACACTCCGCAGGAACAGATCAAAGTAAGCAGTGGCAGTCACCAGTTCCTCCACGGTGCTCTGCAATATATCATGCAGGTGTAGTAGTTACATGGCTCTTATACAGAAAGTACAATTTCAGTTAATGATACTGAAGTGTTAGTAAATGAAACAAATTGGATGTGACAACATTACTTGTACTCAACAGCTACTGTAAATTATATATGTGCAAAATATTAACAATAAGTAGTAATAAGTGTTAATAAATGATAAGTTCAGCAAAATGTAAATTATTGTCATTACATATAAGTTCAGCAAAATGTAAATTATTGTCATTACATATAACAGTAAAAATATTTCAGTGTGACAAATGTTGGGTCACATGTGAGGCAAAGATGGGAAACATAAATTAAAACACATTCAATTAAAATAACAATAAGTAACACATTTAGGAAGAAGTGTGTAAACACAGTGAAAACACTTGAAGCTTAAAATTAAACAGCCTCTAATAAGAAAGGATGAAGTAGCTGCCCAGAAGGGTGGTAACCACATAGGAAAGATCGACATTATTTATTAATTCTTCTGGGGAATATTCCCATACAGAAACGTTTTATTCGTATGTACCTATTGTTAAATGTTCATTAATTTGTTACCTTATTTTACACAAATTACCACACACTGTCAGATACCTTTATTTTTTAAAGCATTTGAATTAACACTTTGCGGACCGCGCACCCTTTAAAAGGTTTTTCGCTTTTAAACATGGCGGACCGTTCGCCTGTTAACAGGTTTTTAAAACACGATAAGTTGCAACACACTATACATCTCTCTGGCGCCACCCAAGTTGCACACAATGGCGTAATAAAACTCTGGAATATTTGCTTACTTGTCAGTAAGTTGATCTCGCTGTTTTCTTAAGCCACTATAAGCGATAATGCTTTGTTGCTCTTCAAGCTGTATGTATCAGCCAGTAGTTAGTGTTGGGGTATGGATAAGGACAAATTCCTTTCCGATGAGCCAGCTGACCTGCCTTGTGAGATGCGTAGTGACAGCAGTGACAGGGGAGAGCAAAGAACTGTGGCCACTTGTGGCCACATACAGTAAAAGTGACCATAGCTCAGACAATAATAGGGGTAATAACATTGCGGGGACAGTAAAAAATTCAAAAAATCACAAATTATTGTCATTACATTCGAAATTGAAATACAAAGCATTTCTGATGAATGTGGCAAAGCCCTGGGCTACAGACCAGACGGTGGCGGCAGAACCAGCGTCAGACACAGACTTACTGCGACCGTGCCCATCCAATCCCACCCCAAGCAAGCCTCATGCAGATCCCACAGGGCGACTCTCAGGTGATATGCGGAAACATACCCTCGTGAAAATTGTGAAGAGTGAACATCCCAAGGGGAAGCATCTTTCTAGGCAATGCCCTGTTTCCACAGTTCACAAAAAAAGGAGCATGTCTACATTTGCAAGTTCTCTGTAATGTCACTTCACAAACAGGAATGTTTCCAGAAATATCACACTCTCAAGCACTTCTAGGAGCATTGGAAAGTGTTCTCCAAAAATTTTAGTTCATAAAATTAATTAGGAAATTTTATATTAATTTTTAAAGTGAACAGTGCACAAGTTAGGGTAGTAGGTTTAAAAATTCTGGTCCCCAGGGTGATTTAAATATTTAATCTGCCGGTCCGCGAAGTGTTAAAATATCACCTTCTTTGTTAGTCTTGTTAAGATGAGTTCAAACATTTCTGTCAGTAAAAAGAATTTTTATTCATGACAAAGCAGAATCATAATACTGTGAAACAAGAGGCATCACAGTGTGGGATACTTCAGAAATGGGTTCTGATATGATGAAATGCATACTCCGTTTGGTTGCTACACAGAACCACTCTCAAGGTGTGGATGCTTTCTGAACACATCCAGGCTATTAGAGTTGATGTATCCAGGGACTCATGAATCGATATCTGGACATTAACACAACAATAAAAATAAATCATTCCAACTGCTCACGTTGTTTTATTTGATAGCTGCTACATGTTTCAGTTCACATTTGGGACCATCTTCAGGCAGTCTCGCCAAATATGTCATTGTAACTAGGAACAAATATGACATAAATGCCCATACAGAGGGAATATACACCCTAAAGAAAAAACAGAAGCATGGCAACATACACAGAAGACAAGTGAGAAAAAACAAAAACTGAAAACATTACCGTGAATAGCTTCTACAACATACAGTATAACAGTGAACCTCAGGAGAAAGACAACCTAAAATCACTTGTGGAGCTGAGCCCTTCTTCAGAAGCCACCAATTATACAGCCACTCAAGAACTTCCCAGCATTTTATGGATCCTGAAGGTCCATTACTGTGTTCACAAGAGCCCCCCACTGGTCCCTATCCTGAGCCAGATCAATCCAAACCATACCATCTTATCCTATTTCTCTAAGATCCATTTTAATAGTTGATTTGTTATGTCAAAACCCATACTGATGATCCCCAATAATTTCATCTATATATGGACTTAACTTTGAGAGAAGGGTATGGGATAAAATTTTGTATTAAGTCGATAGCAGTGATATCCCCCGATAATTACTACAGTCAGTTTTATCATTCTTCTTGTGAATTGGTACAATAATAGACTCCTTCCTCTGATCAGGCAATTTTTCCTTATTCCAATTAGAATTAATTAGCTTATGGATTTCTGAATGTAATATTCTGCCTCCTGCTTGAATCATTTCAGCCAGAATTTGATCATTACCTGGCAATTTATACATTTTCAACATTGCAATAGCAATTTCAACTTCAAAAGGGGCTAGAATCAGGCTCTAATGGCTCAGCTGTATGGATTTCTATCTGCTTAACAGCACTGACCCTATGTACATTTAATAACTGAGAGAAGTGGTTCTTCCACCTATTCAATATGTTGTGGGAATCTGCAAGCAGATCACCATTCTCATCCTCCATGAAGTTACTTCTAGGTTAGTAACCCTTTTCAAAGTAATTTATTCCTCTATACAGGTCTTAATGTTCTTGTTTTTACTGTTCGTTGCAATCGTTGAAATTTTTATATTCTCCCTAATAGTTTCAAACATTTTATTAATATCCACCTCAGTGTCTAAGTTTTCCAAAGCTGTGAACCTATATCAGATTTCAACACGATAGTGCCCTTTATCCTCTACCTTGTTTAATTCCTTGAGATTGAACCTCTCCACATGAACTCTGTGCATTGTTTGTTTAGGCAAACTATGATGCGGGACAAAAACTAAAAAACAACAGGAATTTTACATTCATAGACAAGATAATTTTAAATAATTTAAATTTTAAAATTCTGAAAAATTTTAAAACCAGAAAAATCCTTGCAAATTCTGAATGGTCATATGTATCATATGACAGTGATGAGTATCACTAACATGGATCCACATCAGGACAATTCAATAAAAAGAAATGTATCTGATGAGACTGCCTGAAGATGGTCCCAAATGTGAACCGAAATATGTAGCAACCATCAAAGAAAACCAATGTGAGCAGTTTGATTGGTTTATTTTTACTGTTGTGTAGACAGCCATATACCATCAATCATGATACATAAGAGGATACGAACAGTGAGGAGAGTATCAGTCTATTCATATCTTGTCCACATGAAGAAGGAAACAGAACTTGTTTAAAACATATTGTGGTTTTTCTATAAAAAACAGGATGGATAAGATCTAAGACAAACTTAAATAGTCTCGTGTCCAAAAGACTTATATTTATAGATATGAGAGAGCAGAAAAAATTTACATCTGAAATGTACAAAAGATATGAGAAAGTATGGGTAATGTAATTTGTTCTGTACAAGTATCACACACCTCTGAAACGCAGATCCCTCCTTTTTTCCTACATGAGTTGGATTACAAATTAAATCTCTTTCTAACATCTTAAATATACTATGAGATTTCAAGTTTTCACACTGAAGCACCAAAGTTACCATCTTCCGGCATATAACATCACAAAGTATGGCAGATAGGTATGAATGTTTCAGAAGCACCTTCTTCCTCTGCCTTCAGGGTTGAAGAAATCAGTCTTAGAACCATTTTATTAACAATACCTGAATATAAATGTGGCCCTGAGGAAGTCCTTTTTTGAGATGTATTTTGTCAATCTCTCAAGAACTACATGGAGATGAATGGTAATTTCATGCTGATTTTTAAATATTACCTGTCTCCTTAGGTAACTTCCATGGTAATTTAACAGTGAAACTCAAATTCAAATCACAGTGAGATGAACCAATCTAAGGAGCAATTCCTAAATGATTAAATTATGTCTATGAGACTGTATGATGTCATAACCCAAATGACCACAACCTAAATTTCCATAAAAACAAAAATTTCAGACCTCAAATATTTTGCCTGGAGAATAACTGAATCCATGTGTACAGATCATAATAATATAATGCCTGACCTAGGGAAAAGAATGTTTAAAACTACTGATGTATGTAAAAATGTCAAGTAATACCTGTTAGTCTAATTCTACATATTTTTCATGCCAAATATTTTATATAATACTGAAAAGGAGACTCCCAAGGAGAACATGCACACATAAACCACAAACGCAAATGATACATTAAAAACAAGCTGACGTAATAACTACAACAAAAACATCAACAATACAAAAAAATACATTCTACAATAATAGCACTAGATCACTCAGACATGTAAACCAAGAAAAAAGCAAAGAGCTGTACCTTCTTGGATATAGTGCTGTGTAGTTCGGTGAAAGTCAACATGTTCTGGACGAATATGTCACCTTCATCTCCAGGGTCAAAGAGTAAGCCAAACAATGCTGGTTTCTTGCTTAGCTTACTCTTCGACCCTGAGCGGCCTCCGTATTCTACCGGTAACGTTCCCACCTCATGACTCAAGGTACGTGGGTTCACACCCGGTGGAGGTCGTGGAATTTTTAGGGGCGGAAAAATTCAGGGAACAAGTTCTCCGGGAGGGACTTTAAGCCGTGGGTCCCGTGTCGTAGATTTATGGCACATAAAAGATCCTCATGTCTCTAGGAGACCTCTGAGCTAAATTAGGCAACAATTTCCTGCCCAAGTAGTTTCCAGTGCCTCTGGTAGATGGGGGAAAATATCAGGTACTGACAGCTGACCTCGTTGGCTGAATGGGGCTGATAGCATGCACCAGTACAGGTAGGGTATGGGGACAGTAGAAATTAAAGGGGGACACAATAACAATGGACCAATAACTGGTCTAAGTGCATGGGGAAACCCACCCCCTCTAATAATAATAATAATAATAATAATAATAATAAATAAATACTCTTCGACCCTGAAGATGGAGGTGACATTTACTAAAACTTTCTCTGAACTACATGGCATTATATCCAAGATGATAAAACTCTTTGTAACAATCACTGCAAGAACCCCAAACCCTACCAAGAAAAAAGTGTTTTAATAATATAATATGACATGTTTTCTGAAACTGTGGTCTCAGACCCCTTGGGAATCAAGACCTAATTCTATGAGGGGTTGCAGAGTTCTCAACAGTTGTTTCAAACATATCATGCATTCATGCACAGCCTGGCATGTCAGTTAAGATTTAAGATACATGCTTTCAGAAAATGTGTGAGTAGCTACAGCAGAAAAAACATTCTGTGAATCCCTTCACAATGGTACAAAAACATTTTATAACTCAATGTAGGTGCAGGGAGGTTGTAAAGCTATTTGGGTTACTGCTGCCACTGTACAGCCTGACAGGGACCTGCAAAAGAGTGCAGAACTGAACTTCTCATGACTGTACAGGGACATTTTATAGCTGCAGGTNCAGGGAGGTTGTAAAGCTATTTGGGTTACTGCTGCCACTGTACAGCTGCAGGCGGAGAAAGGCTGTAGAAGTACTTAAATTCTTGCTGTCACTGTATATAATTGTGTGGTGAGAGGTCACATAAATTTATGTATTATTCTTGGTGGTTATGGTACACATAGGTGCTGGAAGGGGGACTAAGCATCCACCCTCCCTATTAGGATTTTTGGAAAAGAAAATCAAAACTGATGAAAAGAGGGAAATATTCCAAATTTTAATAACAATAATTACAGATTTTTTAAATCAGTAAAAACAATTTCAGAAGGGCTGAAATGTAAGCCTGCAAGCAAATTATTCTGGCTTCTCAGCCCCAAACACAAAAGAAAGTAGTGTTTCACAATATTTCTGACATTATTGTGGTGCCTTGTTGCATGAATTCCACATCAGCACTCCTTTCTTGTCCCCCCCACCAAAAAAAAAAAACAGCTGTCATCTGCTTTCCTGTTTAACCTTTTTCAGTTTATCTGGTGAATGTGTGCATTCACTGCTTTCACTGTTCTTTGGCTTCAGCATTCACAAATGAAACCCAGTTTCATCCTTGTTCTGACTGTACTGAGAAATTCGTTGCTACCTTTGTGGTATTGCTCTAATAATGTCAAAGTTGAAGCCATCCTCTGCATTTTGTACACACCCGTAAGCATTTCTGGAACTCATCTAGTGCAAGATATGTGATAGCTTGGCCTAAGTGTGATAATCTCATACAGAAAAGTGTGTGAAATTCATGGAAATTCACACAAAAGTTCTGAAATTGTGAAGTGCCATCTTTCACAAATATTTTGGTCAACACTTTGAACAAGATCATCATTTACTACAGATGGCCGACCACTTCGCTCTTCATCATGAATATCTGTTCAACCATCTTTGAACATTCTACACCACTGGCTTATATTTCCTCCACTCATTACATTTTGGCTGTACTCTGTGCATAATTCATGATGGATTTTTGCAGAACTCATGTTTTTTGTATAAAGATTCACAGGACACATCATAACTCACTCTGTGGAGACAAGAACAAACACTAGGTGACCACTTATACCATGGTTTACAAGGCAATGAATCATGTGACACTACCTCGCATGCTCGGGCTCTCTCCTGCTCCTATATTAGTTGCCTAAAATAAAATGAGGTTACTTTCTGAATGGCCCTGTAGATATGGCACAAAGTAATCCCTGCCTGCAACACTGACTCTCTCTACTTATAACAGACCCTCATTACTCATTCCTGCAAAAAGGTGACACAAACTTACCATATTTTATATGAAGTGATAGGACTGGCCCCCTTCTGCCTTGAAGCATGTCTCACAGTAAGTAAGCAAGTTTCCCAACACATTCTGGAGTCCTGAAGAGAATAATTCACACTTACAGTACACCAAACCATTACTTTTCCACTGTGCAATGGCGTTTGTTGGCAGGCACAAGTGATTTATTCACTCCAGTTTTGAACAAAGACATGAACGAGGAAAAGGCTCAGTGTTATATAGCAGCAATATTGACAGTGTCATTAAATAACCAACTTAAAAAAAAGGGGTAAGGCCTTATCAGCTATGAACAGCTGTGAATCCATGACTCCAACATACACATTTTGCAGTAATCAGCTGCAAAAGTAAATATTTGCTGCACAATCTTGCTGCTTGAGCTCATTCCAGTGAAAATCCACTTTCTTGTGCCAATCTACCCAACAGCTGGTGAATAATGATATCTGGCTCTCCCTGTAAGTTTTCAACTCTTTCTTCAGTTAGCACATTCCTCCACTGACAGCACCCATGTCACACCACTTTCTGACAAGCTTCAATACAAACAACTCTGTAGGAACTCCTCCTTTCTGAGTATTTCTAAATGCATATCCTCTAAGTTTCCTTTCCTATTAAGGGCCAGATTATGAAAACCTGGTGTTCAATCACATGCCTCATTGCAAGAATAACAAATTCAAGTAACAAGATAAATAGATGTGAGCACGCAAAACCCTCATACACTACAGTATCAATCACATGATGTTTGTTGACTACACATAAGCCCTTTCCTCATATGGAGGTAGTGATCACAAAACATGTTCTATTATTAATTATAAAATTACTATATTTTACACTGTCCATTGTTTTACATGTATTTAAAATTATGCAATGTTTTAGAAGTTGGAGCCTCTTCTGTCATCAAGTACAAAAAAAAAAAAAAAAACAAAAAAAGAAATGGGAACAGATCCTACATGCCTAATATTAAGTAAAAATAAGCAATGGACAACTTCCAACATAATAATGTTACACTTAATGTTACAGAACATTGTCACAATCCTGTAGAGGATCATGTGCTTTGCTCATGATGCAGTGACATTTCCTTCTTTACCTTCATTATGTCACTGGTCATGTCAATGTGCAAAATATATGAATATGGAGTGAATAAAATTCTCATGCCATTCAAGAAGTCCCATCATACAGTGGAAAACTAGTGGTATGGTCTGACGTATATGCATGGCAAATTATTCACTTCAAAAACAAGTACTGTGTTAGGTCTGCTCACCTAAGTCACTGCCAGTGAGTGAGGTTAGTTCTTGTGTCAACCACCCCCTCACCTGAGGACGATAACAGACAATGGACACGACCAAAAACCTTGTAATCCTGAGTGTTATACACCACTGTCAGAACCCTTTAGAGTAAAAAATATGTAAGTTTGTGTCACATTTTTACAGTAATAAGAAATGAGGTTCTGTTAAGTGAATACACTGTATATGCAAACACATCCACAGGTATTTATTTTTATGTAAAACATAACATCCTTCTCATTGACATAAAAGGAAGCTTCTATGACCATCAGTCTATACAATGAACACAACAATCTTATCAGCACCCATACATCTTCTATTCGTTTCTTCAGTGAAAACAGTAATAATTAGGGTAGGTTTGAATAATGAATCCTAAATTGAGCTGAATCTTCCTTATTCAAGTTAAAGATAATACTTAGTCCCTGCTGACTTCCTGATGACACTCAGGAGATGGTTTAGGTACTCTCTATAATGTGCCAGAAGTTTCAAACTGCACACTTTATCCCACAACGTCGTGTCCTAAGGATCCTCAGAGTATTCAGTGAACTGCCACAATGCAGCAATGTGAGACTATTTACCATATTCTTAACAAGTACCGAAGTCTTAAACAAGAAACCTCTATGTCGTCTTACTTTCAGAGTCAACGTGCAGGTTGTACAACTGTAAGACATTCCATGCACCAAAGGAATGCTAGCTGAGTAGAATGGAAACCAGCAGCAATGCAACCAAAGGTTAGTGACAGCATAAAGACATATAACCATGATGTTTTGATGTACTGACCGCTTCTTGTGGTGAATCTAAGCGGTCAAGAGAAAGTCCCACAGAGTCCTATAAACGAAGGCATCAGGGACGGACGTAGCGAGCGAGGCAACAAGAGGGAGCGAGAACACACACCACATTTAGCTAGCAACCACCATATCCAGTTAAGAGCACTTTCCACATAATATATTCACTTCATGTACACAAACCCTTGAAGTACAATAAGTCACATCCAAACAATGTTTTCAACACTTCCACGTCAGAATAAGTAAAACAGAATTATATGTACAAACTAAAAAAAAAAATGCAATAATATTTATGATATTATGGCAAGTTTCTCTGATAGGTATACTGCAGTTTGCCTGGAAAGACACATTCTACAGTTCTTTCCTCACCTGCTGTGCCAATCACTGATGGCAAACTGCAACATATTTCTTTGTTTGAGGAACTGTTACACTTAGATTTAAATATATGTATACCAAGTGGGTCATTCCACATCAAATTAACACAGAAACAAGACACATGCTCCCACAGAATTGAACAATTTTCTGAGACTGCAGTGCCAATAGAGATAAGCATTCCTGACAAATTTTACTGTTTTATGGACACTAGAATTCTGAAAACATAAATCCAAAGTCATAAAAAACTTGTTTCTAGGGCATAAGTTGTTTTAGAAAAAGTGGCAAAACTTCTGCCCTAATTGAGACACACGGCCCACAGTATGCTCACATCAAGGATAATATAATGCCTCTTCCAATGATCTAGTCCACCATTATACTTGGCACAGTTACACATTCAAGGACTTCAAATGTTACTTTTAAACCTGAACTTCTCAAAATGTGGTATTTTTTTTTAAATTGTGTGCATGTAATTATTGTTTAAAATATTTGAAAATCAAGTTGGGACTGTAATGGGTTTGAGTTCTGTAAGCACAAGTGCTCAGAATGGATATTAAAAGTGGTTGTACATATTTAAAAAATGTTTACTGCACACTACAGAACTGAAACCATATTCATGTACCAACTGTCCAGCTGAGATTTTCTCAACTCACACTCCTATGATGTTAACACAAGCTAATGTAAATGTGAATCCAGTAACATTCTAAAACTGGAGACTTACAGACATCAACTCTCATTTTGTAACTAACAGTAATATGATGTGAAACAAAACTTGGAAAGCTGTAACAAGGCAGCATCACAGAAATTCAACCTAACAGTGACACACTGTACTTGCACTTCAGAGGTTTGTATTATTCAAAACAACAAACAAGCTTTCCTTTCAATGCCAGAAAATTTTTCCCAGAGATTCCAGACAAAGAATTACCTTAAGTTAAAAAGAAGTTTTGTGATTCCTATGTTAAGAGAATTTCATAATTTCATATTCAATGAATTTTAACCATATTAGCATGCCTGTGCAATTTCTATAGAAACTTCAGAAATCTGAAAGACACCAATCACCATACAGGAAGCAAAAGCATGACCATACCACCCTGCATTCAGAATTTAATGAACAAAGTTCTTGCACTGATTACACAAATCTGAGTTTCCCTGCACTGGTTATTGTGAGATATTTTGATCTACAATATGCAACATGTTGTCAACGGCAATCCACTGTCATTCTGCCAGTTTGAGTGCACACACAGCAAGTGTGATATAACCTGTGATTCTTTACAGGCCCATTGGACACCGTTCATTATCTAAGACATGTCTTGATATGTACAGCATTTCAGGAGTCAGCTGTATTCCCATTTTCAAGTGACTGTCACATACTTTTATTTACTACTTTTCATTCAAGATTAGTAGTGATAGTTGGGATTGAACCCAGGACCTCCAAAGTATTAGGCTAGCATAGTTTTGTCAGTATAACAAAGAAATCAGTACAATCAACTTCCTGCAGGTTGTGTATACCAAATTATACCTGACACAATGGACAGCGACCAACATAATGTTGGTACAAGGTTTGGTACGGTGAAACCTCCAGTTAAGGTTTCTTTGTGAGCACTGGGTTTTAACATTAAAATAAGTATTTTCTTCACTAGAAGAAATTTAACATCAAGTTTATTATATGGGATCACTGAAATTGAACACTAAATGGGAGTCTTAATTTGGGTACAGGGCTGGGATAGCTCAGTGGGTATATCAATGGGCCATGGGCTGGACGGCCAGAGTTTAATTTCTGGCCAAGGCAAGAAATCTTCGTCTACTCCACAGTGTCCAGACCAGCTCTGGGGCACACCCAGCTTATTCAATGGGTACCATGGACTCTTTCCCCGTGGGTATAGCGGCAGGAGTATGAAGCTGACCACGTGTCTCCAACTAGTTCTGATGTTAAGAATGATGGAGCTATACTTCTCCTACCCAATATATCAGTTCTCATACTAAACACAGATGACGAATTCTAATTCATATTTTTGTTTTTGTGAATTTGCCATTAAATATTAAGATGTGACTTCAGATCATTATCTTCAAGGGTTCGTATATGTGTGTAACAAACATAAAGTACATGAACTTATAACCTATGCTTATAAAGAAATACAATACTGATAACAATGTCCCTAAACCTCTCAAGATGCATGTAGTAAAATGAAAGAAAGCTAGTGCAATATGCTCTACATGAACCAGTAAATGTTTCATGTGAAACTTTATTCTACAAATGACTTTCATACAATGTACACCAATAATATATACATAAAAATGATCTCAGTAAATTATAATTATAATTAATTGCAAATAAATAAGAAAAAGCTTTGGGACTGTCCATGAATTATGTCTATTTTCTAGTTACATGTACTAATATAGACTATATCCCAATGGATAATCAAGACATTTCTGAGCAGCGATTCCACCCTATAACAGCCATACTACATAGCTCATATTCCATTTTGTTCATTTGTGAGTTACAATCAGTATGAAACCACGGTACAATTATGTTCCACCAGAAATGTCAATAATAATATACTAGACCAACACCTGTGGAAAACCTTCAGAATAAAAACACACAAATCCTAATGGGATGCATCCTTCTGTGTCATATACTAGCATTTTATGGGACTGTCTACATCAAAGTCATATCAACGAACATGTCGATGATAACATAACACAATTCATTTATTTCACAAAGGTGTTGCTACATGTTTCGACCCTTACTAGTCATCATCAGGCTAGTCTACAAAAATATCAGCTTAGTCACTGAATTATTTTCATAATATGGATCCATATTATTAAAATATTTTACCAGTTGTTTAGCAAATACACCCCTTTGTTAAAACATAATCTAACAAATACATAGTTTTTAAGATTAAGATTAAAAATTAAAATAAAAATTAAAATTACATATATGGTTTGGATTAATATTGTGACGTGTTGCGCAATGGAGGACACCCCTCCCTCCCCAGCGGTACGTGGCGGCATCATAGTGCTGTCATTACTATGGTACTAGGCAAGTCAACACACCGCCCCTCTCCCCGCGGTGACATAACACGCAACGCAGCTGTGACATGGGTAACAGGCAACAGCGGTACTCATTGCGTAACAGGCGGGCGCTGCGACTATATAAGGGAACTACACAGCCACCATAGTTAGTTAAAAGTGTATCAGCCACTGAAGTGAGTTCTCCAGTCAGCAGTGAACAAGTTAAAAGTGTATCAGCGGCCGAAGACAGTTCTCAAGTCAGCAGTGAACCAGTTCTCAAGGCAGCAGCCTACGAGTTGAGCTGGAATATAGCAGCTGTCATGGAAAGAAGAACCAGATGCATGTGTGATAATCAGTGATAGTTGTGATAAGTAATAATTGGGAGTGTGTGATACAGTGACACTTGTATAGCTCCCGTATTGTAATTAATACGTGTAGACTACTGAGGACAGAGCGAATTGATTAGTGCGTAGGGTTTGTAAACTGTGGAAACCCGCAACAATGTTGTAATTAATTGTAGCAGAGATTTGTAGGTTGTTAAATAAACAAATTAACAATCCGAACGGCATCTTCAGTAAAAAGACATGTAACAATATTAATGTTAATATGATTTTAAAATTAATTACCCAAATTATACTTTGATTTTAAGAACTGATTTTAAATTATTTAAAAAAAAAACTCTAGAAGTGTCCTGGCTGAGATTCAAACCAAGTACCTCTTAGATACAAGTGTAGAACGTTATCTGTAAACCATCCTGTTATGTGTGAGCATGGAATTGAACTTATAAATATTGTTTAGCTGAATTTCAGGACTGAAAGGGTTAACTGAGTGCACACAAAATTAATGTAATATGAAGATGGGGTTTGTAATTTACAGGGAGACATTTCAGCGGACTGCCTCTATGGTCTAGCGGTCAGAGTTCCTGGCTACATATCCAGAGGTCTTGGTAAGATTCCTGGTGCTACCAGATTTTCTGAGAAGTATTGGGTCTGGAATGGGGTCCACTCAGCATCATGAGGATAATTGAGGAGCTATTTGAAGGAAACAGCGGCTCTGGTCTAGAAAACCGACATTAACAGCCATGTGGATTCGTTGCGCTGACCACACAACACCCTCTATCTGATAAAGTTGGCAGTAAATTCGCTGACAGGCGGTGGTCACTTGATTGGTATAGTTCGCTTGCGGACCAAAACCACGGAGTTAGTTTAGTTAGACATTTCAGCATAGTCATCATGTAACTTAGGAAAACAAATAAGCTGACGTAATTCATGGACAGAACCACTCTATTGCTGTATATCAAACACACCCATGATTAGCAATCCAAAGAGCAAAATGAAAATATTTTCACTTTACCTGTAGCAGTGCTGGGCCCATAACTGGAACAAGAAAACCCTGGTACAGAAACTCCAGCATCTGTTTCTTTACTACAGGATGTGCAACTTGAACGACCGCATTGCAGAATTCTAGGGAGTTCATGAACATTGTCAGCTCACTGATCTCATTCACATCATCTGGGGTAAGGCGATGCCAGTCTTCAGTCTCTATTGCTAGTTTGCGTGGGAGCAGGGAGTACAGTCCACTCAGCCCTGTTGCAAGCACCTACACAGCAGACAAAAGGCAATAAGCATTCATGAAGATGGAATGAAGGATGTGAACAAATGCTGCAGGTAAGAGGTTAGCATTCCTACTTTGCATTCATTAGGTCCAGGTTGAAAACCTGGCATGGAGACTGGCTATTCTGAGTAAGGTTCCCAGTGGTTTTCCTCAGTCCATCAAGGAAAACTGTAGGATAGTACCTCAAATTAGGCCTCAATTGCTTCCTTCTACATCGTTTTCAGTTTACTATTCACTAACCATCCTAACCGAAGTATACATAAGCTGAGTTACTGAAGAATTTGCTGAACAAACTAAGAATACATAAAATAAATAAATGAGACTTGATGTTCTCATGGCGATGAGTAATAAGATTACGAGTTTCTGGAATGTGACACTGTTTAGTATGGACGATGGGTACCACACTACATGATGTTAAATCCAAGATAACGATAACCACAAAAATTAAAGAAGGAAGTTTCAGTATATGACCATTTGCTACATGTAAATGGACTCAGTACACCCACACTCAACAGGCTACTTTCATGCCTTTGTAAATTATACCTTCATGCTCTCACTGTGTCATTACTGTAAAACCCTTCTAGGCTTGATCTCATCAATCTGCATATTGATTAATCTGGTCAATTCTGGCACCATTCAACACTGAGTAAAGGAAGTAAACTTGAGGTCATTAAGAAGGCTGAGCCCAGTGCATCCGCTGCTGTAACTGTGATAAAGTCTAACAGAGCGAAACAAAACGTTTTTGCCTACTTTATCATTAAAATAAAAATTAAACCCTATTCTTCCATCCCTGATTATCATGTTCTCTTGCATTGGCAATTCGGATTATCACAAAATCTGGACTACTTTTGCTGCATACACTCTGGTATAGCAATACTTTACTGTACTTATGGACACAGAAAACAAGGTAGTGCCCAATTTATGGACATTTTTAAAATTCTTTGTTGTACCAATTTTTCATGCCTTTCAAACAAATCAATCAAATATGAACAAATAAAAAATATCTAATGTAGTAACCAAATTACGGTTTCCAATCTGAAAATAAAACTGAAAACATACAGATCAGAATGACAACTAACAGAATTCTTTCTTATAAAATTTTATATATTTATTTAATTACTTTTTATGATTTGGGGACACTCTGAACACTCCAGATAACAGGAGTCGGTTAATAACAAACTGTAAAGCACGTAAAAGGTATCAGTTGTGAACTGACTTCAAGTACTGCTGAGTGTTTGCATGGATTGGTAGAGGGAAAACTGTGAGAAATTTCACACCCATGGCATTTTAAACATGAAGCATGAGTGCTATCCAACGGACCACAATTTTAAATAAGAATTTCATGAAAATTGACCAAAATATCCAAAAGTTATTAAGGAGAACCTCCTTGTTTGTTTGTTTCTTTGTTTGTGTGTGCTCATACACACACGTGCATTTGCATACATGCACTCATGAGTGTGTGTGTATGCACAGACACACTTCTAAAAAAATAAGTGAATAAGAGGAACAGGTCAGATGGGAACACAGCGGAGAAACAGAGCCGGAGATAAGCAATCTAATTCTGTGACAAGTAGCCTTTGTTCTGCTCGTCATATCAAGTCTCTTTACAGATTTAAGATAAATGTGATAACACAGCTCGCACACAACTACTATACATATCTTATCTTTCTCCACACAGAATGACAGGGGGTTTGAGACTTAGGCATGCCACATCTCTAGCTAGATAAAATGAACACAGCTATGAGAATGTTCATATTAGAATTTTGTCAACAGTTTTACATGGCATATACCTTAATTGCAAGAACAATACAAATCACAATTATGCCTTAATTTCAGGACTGCTCCCCTCATGAAGTGTAAGCATAGAAATCCACTGATTCCTGTGCACAGGTAACTTTAGGCACACATGGTTAGACATGCGAAGAGGCAAATACTCTACAATACAGAGTACTATTTTCTGGGATTTTGTCCTCCCAAACATCAGCTGACTTTCAACAGACTATACGGTGTTACATCCCAGAAGACAGCACTCCTCATAACCATGGCTGTGAGAAACTCAAATCCCTCTCTAGAATAGTTCAAAATCAGTGCCTTCTATAAGATTCTCGTAGCTGGTACACGCACTGTATGTTATCACCATAATGACTGCCAAATTACAGTCAAAATAAATACTGGATTCTCAACCAGCTTTTAACTCTCTTGTTTGGGGGTCTAAATATCAGACACAAAAAGAACTCAATATNGAATGTTATGCTTGATGTAATGTTGTTGTTATCTGACATGTCCAATTGTAATTTCTACAGCTATGGATGAAATAAATGAATTGAATTGAATTGAAATATCAGACACAAAAAGAACTCAATATGCAGGCTATCAATTCATAAAGTTTACTTTAATCATATGTAGAAGGAATAGAGTCTTCTTACAGAATATGATGGATTGGAAAAGTGTTTAGGTAGCTACAAAGTACAGTGAAACCATGACAGAATGAGTTTGGCTTAGATCACAAACTTCACTATAATGGGGGGGGGAATGCCTGCTTCATGTAATAATAAAGGAAATATTGTGAAACTTCCCCAGTGTTTGGGCTATACTGTTTCTGCAGCAGAATATTGATCATTCAAGCCAATGGCAACAGCATGTCACATCTTTGAACAAAACAGGAAAATGCAAATTACAGTGAAAGACCCCCAGGTAATGTTTAAAGGGACAAAATTAATCAGCCACACATATCCTGTGTGACTGTGAGGCCATAGCTTACTTAAGATTTCATCATCTGGGTCAGTTCTTCATGGAACCAAGTGACTTTTATGATGCTCCCATAAATATAGTCCTACATTCATTCGAAGTGTAGGATTAATAAAGGGTTAATCCAAAGGGGAAGCACAGTAATCATTGAAGGTCACAGAGGGAGGGCCAGATTTTATACCCCACCCCTTACACACATACACATACAAGGGATGAAATTAAATGACAAAAAAGAACAGGTAACCTATCAATCAAAAAAAATACACCAATAAAGATTACAGCATTACAGATGACCACTGATGAAAAGAATACAAATTTCTTCATCAGCAACTTAACTCAACTGCATGCATGAAGCAGTTTATAAGCCAATAACTATAAACATGAGAGTACTGTGAAATCCTGAGATTATACTGGATAATTTCAACACAAAGAGATGTGGACTTCACTAATAAGTTATTAAAAAAACTACAGTGGCAACGGCAGTGGTGGTGGAAGAGGCGCAGCCAATACCAACCACAAACAATCCATTAATGTGAAGAAAGCAGTCTTCTGGGATGTGGCACCATGCAGATGTGGTGTTAACCGATGTTTCAGAGGAATGTATCGTCTCCATCTTGAGGGTAGAAGGAAAAATAAGAAAATCCGCAAGTGAAGAGACAATGAGAAGCAGATTGCTTGCACTGGTTCTCACTGTCCCTTCGCTTGTGGATTTTCTTATTTTTCCTTCTACCGTGAAGATGGAGGTGATACTTTCCTCCAAAATGTCGGTTAACACCACATCTACATGGTGCCACATCCCAGAAGACTGCCTTCTTCTTAGCCACCGCCATGAAAACCTCAAATCTTACAATCCATTAACGTGTTTAAAACTGCAACAATAAATTCCATTTGAGTGGGTTTCAATCATCATCTAAGCATGAGTTGAACTAATATGCTAAACTGCATTCTAATACAGCATTTTTAACTTAACATTACCTTAATCTAACACTAACAAAACATCATTCTGAGGACTGGAAGTTCATGGATTTGAAAAGCAGACTTCATGAGTTCAGCCTGGAACTTGTTTCACTTTTGGAAACTGGTCTAGAGGAGATAACGAAACAGGGCAATACTCACTGGGCAAACATTGGAGTGCTCTGCAATGTATGATCCCACTATCTCATTCTTCTTGGACAAAGACATACAGAGCAGCAAAGCATCACGAGCCTGCTGACCAATGCCACCCTCTCGGTGAACAAAAGGAATCAGAAGGGTGAAGATCACAAATCTGCAATTATGAAAAAGTTTTGTGGTGTCACAACTAATTCACATCATCCATTAACCTCTTCCATGCTTGGAAATTCATGTGTGTGCATGTGAGTGTTTTCATTCTGTTTTGAAAATATTTTTAAAATATTCTGATCAATTTTAGACGAAGAACTTACCTCTACTATTACACAGTCTCTTAAATTTCACTTGTTCCACATGAAAATCATCATCAAATGAGCGAATGTGTACAAATACTCAAAGATGGAGTTAAATAGAATGTGCACAAAAGATGCAATAAGATGCTCAGGTTTTTAAGACAGAAATGAACATGAAAAGAGAAGAATTAAGGTGTTTACATTTCAAGGTTTATATGTAGCACCTGTTATAAAAATTACTAGCACAAATTTTGGTTTGAAAATGATCAAAACGGACAGCAATCATGTAAGAAAATGGTTCTACACACTGTTTTGTACCAAGCAAAACTGTACTGTATATATTTTTTTCTTTTTTGTGGGCTATTTTATGATACTCTCAGTAGCTAGACTACATGGTGCTGAATGGAGGATGACTGATGACCTAAACTTTAGCACTACCATTGCATTTGCCTAGAGGGAGTCAATAAAACTATGAAATACCCGAGTCAGGAGAGCCAGTGCCCTGGCCAACATTCAAACTGGGCACCTGCTGAATATGAACATACAGTGTTACTGACATGGTAACTGCATTGATGGCTATAGATTCAAATTCCACTCGCAATATGCATACAATACTGTGTCTTCTGAGCTGTCTTGTTCAGCCACAGGCCTAGCAATGGCCTGAGGCCACATACAGGAAGTCCCATTGCAGATCTAGCAGATTACATGAAAACAGAAATCTCTACATCACAGATCAAAATAGAAGTAGAGAATGCATTAAGAAGGGATGAAGAACTTTGTATTCAGTGTTACAACAGCAGGTGATGCATCTGTAGCCTTCAATAACATAGCTATTATAAGAAAAATAAATAGTGTACTGGCACACACCTGTGTAAAGATAAAGGTAAAGCTGACCATGCTTCATTAAACACAATACTATAAAGACCTATGGGGGAGTGGACAGCTTTACAACCAGGCTGGTTTACCTTAAAGGACAGAGCCCCCAATATCCACTGAATACAAGGCTGCCCAGTCTCCAGGGCCAGTTTCAATGCTGTGGAGAACTGACAATCTCTTGTCTCTCCTGGGAATCGACCTATGACTTCTGTGTCATATAGCCTATGGCCTAGTCCCTGTACTGAGCTATCCTGGCTCAAATATTTATTCAAATTATTCTTTGGATCTTGTCTTTAACCTGCATTAATGAGAACTGACATGATTGTTGAATATTAAACCAGTAAAAATATTTTCACTTACCTGGCCGGACCCTGGTCTGGTGAGGCATAGAAAAAGAGGTCAAGTAGCTCAGTATTCTGCATCAGCGAGACACAAAGTTGGTTGAGCAACACAACAAGTCTTTTCTCCACTTCAACGGGGAACACTTCACCAGCACATGATGTAAGAAGCTTAAGTAATGGGCGGACGAATGGTTCATGGACTAGCAACTGGTGATGAGAGTGACTGACAAGCAACTCATAGAGCTTGAGCTGCTCCAAGCGGATGGCGTTTCCATATCTAATTAACAAAGTGAACTAACATTACTTACTTACTTATGGAGCTGAGCCCTTCTTGAGGAGAAGCCAAATCTGCAGCTACTCAAGAATTTCCTAGCATTTTATGGAACCTGAAGGTTCATTACCGTGTTCACAAGAGCCCTCCACTGGTCCCTATCCTGAGCCAGATCAATCCAATCCACACTATCCCATCCTATCTTTCTAAGATCCATTATAATATTGTCTGCCCATCCTACATCGTGGTTTTCCCCGTGGTCTCTTTCCTTCTGGCTTTCCCACCAGTATCCTACATGCATTCCTCTTCTCCCTCATATGTGCTACATGAACTGCCCACCTCATCCTCCTCGACTTGATCATTCTAATTATACTTGAAGAAGTCATGAAGCTCCACATTATGCACTTTTCTCCAACCTCCTGTCACTTCATCTCTCTCTGGTCCAAATATTCTTCTCAGCACCCTATTCTCAAACACCCTCAGTCTATCTTCCTCCTTTAATGTGAGAGACCAAGTTTCACACCCATACACAATCATAGGCAAAACATTACTACTTTCACAAAACACAATTTAACATAACCAAGCAGAGTTCACATGACAGCAAACGGAAACTGAAGGAGGGAGAGATATGGGGGAAAGACAGAGAGTAAGGGAATAAGAACTACATGCTCACATATACTGTTGGATCATACCTCCCAGTGTGTAAACTCCATGAAAACAGCTTTTCTAACAAGTTTTCACTAAGGAGAAAGTCCAAACAAGGGCAAGCCTGGTGATTTTCATTGCTTGGACTATTTCCTGCTGTCCTTAACTCTAGTAGCAGAAGCGTCACCATTTGACCCAAATGGTTGACAACGCCCACCACATCATCCTGGATAGGATAACCATTAGGAGGCTGAAAGTTAAAAGTGAAAATTAAAAAAAAACATACCATGATATAGCCCACTGGTCTAAGAATGATGTTAAACACATACATGACCACTGAACAAAAGGGTCCAGGATCACATAAAGTTTACACACAATACTTACACTTGAGGTAAGATGGTAGAATATTTATTATTACAAGGAATATTCAGAAAGTAAGCTCTGTTTATTTTAGGCAACTAATGTAGGAGTGGGAGAGAGCTCATGCATCTGAGCTAGCATCACATGACACATCACCTCGTAAACCATCACATAACAGGTCACTTAGTGTTTGTTCTTGTCGCTACAGAGTGAGTTATGATTGTCCTGTCATTGATAATCCCGCCAGCTGCAAAATTCATGATGTTATCCTATTTCTACATGAAAAAAAAAATGAGTGCTGCGAAAATCTACTGTGAATTATGTGCGTTTTATGGTCAAAATGTAATGAGTGAATGGACTGTAAGACAGTGGGGTAGAATGTTCAAAGATGGGCAAACAGATATTCATGATGAAGAGTGAAATGTTTGGCCATCTACAGTGAATGATGATCTTGTTTAGAGTGTTGACCATAAAATTTGTGAAAGATGGCACTTCGCAATTTCAAAACCTTCGTGTGAATTTCCACAAATTTCATGCACTCTTCTCTACAAGATTATCACAGTTAGGCTAGGCTATCATAAGTTTTGTCCAAGATGGAATCCGAAAATGTTCACAGACGGGCACAAAACTCAGAGAATGACTTTGGCTTCATTTTTTTAGAGCAATACCACAAAGATAGCAACGATTTTCTCAGTCACATCATACATGTAACAGGTGATGAAACTTGGGTTTCATTTGTGAAAGCTGAAACCAAAGAACAGTGAAAGCAGTGGATGCACACACATTCATCAAACAAGTCAAAAAAGTTTCAAAAAACGTTGTCTGCCTGTCAGAGAGCTGTTGGCAACCATTTTCTTGGACAGGAAAGGAGTGCTGATGGTGGATTTCATACAACAAGGCATCACAATAACATCAGAAGTGTATTGTGAAACACTAAAAGAAAAATGTGTAAGGCCATTCAGAACAAATGGTTTGGAATGCTGACATACAGTGTACTTGAAGTGCTCCTCCATGACAATGCACATCCACACACAGCTGCTTGTACTTAAGCACTGCTGGAACATTTCAACTGGGAGTTGTTTGACCACCTTCCTTAGCCTTGATCTCGTTCCAAAAGACTACACCTGTTTACATACCTGAACAACTGGTTGTGAACACAGTGCTTCTACAATAATGAGGAGTTGGTGGAACGTGTCAAAAACATGGCTGAGCTCACAGGCAACAGACTTCTTTGACACAGGCATACAAAAACTTCTTCCCTGGTACAAACATTTCAATTCCAGCATTGACTACGAGAAGTAGCTTATGTATATATGCATTTTTTGTATATAATGTTTCTTTTTTGTTTTTTCCCATTGTTTGTTTTGTTAACAGCTCACCAGAAGTTACTTTCCAAATAGCCCTTGTGTTTATGTACAGAGAGCCCTTGGTTTATGATGGTTTTAAAATTGTCTAGTAATATCCTTTGTTTTTCCCCCAAAATTCTGGAATACCGTGTTCCCACTACTAAAAATAGGTCCTTACGCAACACTACTGAGCATGTATTCATGGCAGGTGGAATACCACAGATTTTGTTCCAATTTATTTCTTCCACATTGCTAGAGTTAAATACTCAAAACAATATTTCCATTCAAGGATTTATCACTCAATTCACAATTAAAGTGACTGTCTGTACAATGTATATTACTATCACTGCACCACACTTCATAAACATCATTAAACAAGCAATATATATATATAAGGAAATGTGGTCACTAACATGATATTACTTAAAAAAAATTACTTTCAGGCAAACATCAAACAAGTGACTGCCAGAGGGTTTATTGTGTAGAAAGAGTTGCACTTTGTACTTACTTGTGTTCTTTCTATGATTTCATACATTTGCTGCCAATGTTTTCTGAAACTATCATAACAAGCAGTGGGATCACAATCTTTCGGTGGTGAATTGGACGGCCTGCGTTTCCCAAAACTTGCCCTTAAAGGGCTGTTGCGCAGCCAGCTCATATTTAGCTATGTGAGAACTGTTCTAGGCATCCTGCAATTTTAATACCAGGTACACATTAAGAGAAGCTGTTGACAACACAGATTAACATATCAAATGTTGTCAGCCTATTGTATACCTCATACCTATTTGAGATTAATAAACTATTCATAACACATATCTGTTTTATCAAGCTCCTAAATTCTCTGTTTACGCTTCAGGATAGACTACGCCTTCAACTTATAGATTTATGACCCTTATTGTAAGCATGCAGTAAAAAATCAGATGAACTTACACCTATAAAATATAATTCGCTTATATTAAATCACTTTCGGTTTGTAATTTACATACCTTTTACAAAAAATATAACAAAAATAGGAATTTCTTTCTCTCCCCTGTGTCCTACAGAACACCCACTCCGCCATTACCACCAATGCCATTTCAGTGTTCAAAAATACACATTTAACACAAAAGAAAAGGAAGGAAATGGTTAATAGTATTTTGATAATATAATGTCAAGAGAGTGATTTATGCCTCTCAATCTTCCTCCTTATAGAATCTTTTGATAAATAGTAGGATGTTGATTTACGGTACAGATTTTGTATTGTGTACAACATGGCGGCGAATGAGGTATTTTGCATATCAATTATTATGTATTTTAACTTTTATAATTAATGTGATTTCAAATGGTTATCTCTAATTTGTTACCATATATATTTGTTATAAATAAGAATATTAATATATACTTTCTGATTGTATTTATTTTAATGTGTTCAGTTAAAAATATTATGTTCTAACCTTAGTTGTATTCTATTCGTACTTATTTGGTACACCCAACTTGCTGTAGAAGTAAACTCTCAGCCTGTATACTATCACGTCAATATGATATACCTGGCTCTGTTCACCAGTATTTAGTAAGACTGTTTTAAAATTATGGAATAATTGGAATATTTGGTTTCGAGACGATCCTTGACTTTGCAGAAATTTGCTCACATGTACATCATGTAGCACAGAACTGAGATGCTATGCCATCATTGCATTATATTCCACATATATTAGCAAATGTAGCATAAAGGACTGAAACTTCCTCAAAACGAGCTTTAGTGCTGGATGTAATTTGTCGCCACAGAATTCCCACATAGACTTAAATTAAGACCAAGACTAAACCGGCAAGATTCAGTGTTTTCCCTGAGTCTTAACAAGTAAATATAATACGAAGTTAGTGACGTTACAGTATGAATGAAGTTAGAATGATGTGGTTGACATGTAATCATCTACTTATACCAGGCCCTTGTCTTATAGAAAAAAGAATTTACTGGGCTACGGTCTGACAAAGATCGAGAACCACTGAGCTAGAGCATTGACATCTCAGGAGGATGTATTTTTTTTATTGCTAGTGGGGTGGGACTAAGTCCCTTGCAGTGCGGCCACTTCTGGCCTATTGTACCAGCCCAAGATGATTCAGTATTCAGTATTAGAGGGGTGGGTTTCCCCATGCACCACGACTAGTAGTCTATTGTACGTCCCCATTTAATTTGTACTGTCACCATACCCTACCAGTACTGGTGCTTGCTATCAGCCCTGCTCAGCCAGTGAGTTCGGCCCCTCTACTGGCAGATGGTACCCCATACTTCCCCCATCTACCAGAGGCATTGGAAACTACTTAGGTGGGAAACTTTTTACCTAATTTTGCTCAGAGGTCTTTTATGTGCTGTAAATCTACAACACAGGACCCACGGCTTAAAGTCCCTCCTGGAGGACTTGTTCCCTGAATTTTTCCGCCCTTAAAAATTCCACGACCTCCACCGGGTTTGAACCTGTGTACCTTGAGTTATGAGGTGGGAATGTTACCCCTAGACTACAGAGGCCGCTTAGCCCAAGATGATAGGTGAGGATGATTGTGGAGCAATTTGTGGAATGAAGATCGGCAGGGGAAACCAAAGTACTTGAAGAAAACCTGCCCCAGTGCCACTTTGTCCACCACAAATCCCACTCGACCAGACCCGGGGTCGAACCCGGTGGGAAGCCAGTGACTAATCGCTTGAGCTATGACGTACCCTGAGGAGGATGTAACTATTTTGTCCTTAGAGGGAACGTTCTTCCTCTCCTTCAGGGAGTACTTCTTTACCACTCCTTGCAGGAAAGGAACTTTGTACAGTATCAGAACTCAACTATCTGAACAGCCAGTGCCATGAAAACATGGAAACTTAAGACATGTTACTTACTTTTTATTTAGAATTTTGAAGACCACCGACGTAAATGGGACCGAGATGAATACGAACGCTTGGCTGCTGAGAGAATTCAGGAGGAACTGGATGCCCAAGAGAAAGCAAAGCAGAAACAGCCACCTGTCAAACGTGAATTGCTTCGCCAAAGGGACTATAGAGTAGATCTTGAGTCAAAACTTGGGAAGAGTGTAGTAATTACAAAAAATACACCTTCATCACAAACTGGAGGGTATGTTCAGTCTTTGTAACTTGTAAAAGCAGTGAAGAGATCACCTAGACAAAACATTAAACCTCATGACCACTCAATAAATGCACTTCCTTGCTGTTTAAGGGTGGTTTGTACTTCATGTCTTTCCAAAATCTATTCCATTGCCAAGTATATTGTTTTTAACCAACTGAAAACTTTCATACAGTGAGTTGCTATAATATTTTGTTCAAAAGAGTTTGGGGGAGGGGATTTTTTCATCATTACATGACACTGATATTCGAGACAGTATAATAAAATATATGAAGATATAACCCAGATATATCATGTTTAGATTTCTTCTGTTAAAGGTTAGTGGATTGTTGATTAGACTAGATTAAGGAGGTTACTCAGGAAGGAGAAATGGTACGAATCTGGTGACTGGAATGTAGTGGAAGGGTAATAAAGGGAAGAGAAATGTCTGCACTTAAACCAAAGAGAAAACAGTTGCACATATCTGAAAAAAAAGAAGTATTTCTTCAGTTATTCTTAAAATATGTTAATTTCAAGAGAAATGTTAAATCAGAATTTTACTGCAGTTTGAAACAATAACGGATTCAAATGAGCACTAAGTAACTGCATTGTATATTTAAAACTGTTGAAAGTTGTAACTTTTAACAAATTGATATTGATTCATTTCAGATACTATTGCAATGTTTGTGACTGTGTTGTGAAGGATTCCATAAACTTTCTGGACCACATCAATGGAAAGAAACGTATGTTCCGTGTTGTCTGTAAATATGTTAACTTAGAGCTGTAAATTGTAAATTCATCAATATGTAACTAGCTAACCTAATGCCTAGCTCAATTCATACCCAAACAAACTCCGTGATTTCAGTCCGCAAGCGAACCATACTGATCGAGCGACCGCCGCTTGTCGGCTAAGTTTGGTACCAACTTTTGTGGATAGAGGCTGTCGCGTGGTCAGTGCAACAAATCCCCATGGCCGTAAATTTCGGTTTTCTAGGCTGTTGCCGCTATTTCCATGAAATAGCTCTTCAATTATCAATACATACCCTCCTCCCCAAAAACATTTTTTCTGGCAACAGCCTGAAGGTTCAACGGTGACAATTTTCATTCCTGTCTTCAAGTGAACCTCTTACCCAGAGGTTTTCTTGACTGAATTATATATGCATCGAATGCAGAAGAATGGCGAGCAATCCTGAAGAAGGCCAGGGCTCACAAAGGGCTGTTGTGCCAGTGATAATGATCATGATATATGCATTTTGCAATTTTTCCATTATGTCCAACTTTTGTAATATTCTTGATTTAGCTGCATTAACTGCCTTAAACTAAAAGCTAAATATGAATTTAATGCAACCACCATGTAATTTTACATTTTACAGATTAATTACCTCAACAAAATATCAACATTTTTCAAAGATCTGTTACCCTTCATCATTTCAGCACCACATAAACTTATTAAGCGACACTTCTGTTGTTCCGACCTCACAAGCTCTAACATTCACTGTGTTGTTACTACCAGTTGTAGGAAATTAAAATGTGTAAGGTTGTGGTAGCCTCCATTGGTACAAAATTCACTTAAGATCGATGATGGGGGGGGGAGATTACATGGTGATCTAAGTGTAATGTAACGTGGATGGTGCAACAGGAAGTAGGGGTCACATGAACTCTGCGTTTCCACGAGTGACATCACCTACCCCCACTCCTCCCATCACTACACAACGCTCGGTAAACCCCCCCGCTAGACTGTGATGTCACGAAACAGGTGAGTCTGTGCAGAGACTGGTCCTAGGCAATAGGTAAACATGGCGATTACCAAATAAGGAAGCGAGGTACATTTTCTGCTGTCTGGCTGAGGGTTTATAAGAGAAACTGGAATGCCGAAGGAGCTAGTGGAAGTCTTAGCAGTCACTGAGTGCAGTTGCAGTCTAGCATTCGCCAGAGTTAGTTGAGATTTAGCAGTCGGTGTCCAGCCTTCGAGGAGAGAGGTTACAGTATGTTTTTCTTTGAGAAGGAAAGTATATTTTAGAAGTTTCTGCGTCTGGAGGAGATATTTTTGTGTAAATTGTGAACTCCCACATTAAGTTAGAAGATTTAGATCTCCTTTTCTTTCACAGTGTGATGTGCTGATTTTGTTAATGACACACTCAGATGCTATATTCTAAAAATAGTACAGTAAATAACATTTGTTTTTTCCTCAGATCAACGTAACCTGGGTATGTCAATGCATGTTGAAAGATCATCACTTGACCAAGTGAAGAAACGTTTTGAAAGCAACAAGAAAAAGATTGAAGAAAAGAAGAAAGATTATGACATTGAGCAGAGGATGAAGGAATTAAGGGAAGAGGAAGAAAAGCTGAAGGAATATCGAAAAGAAAAGCGTAAGGAGAGGAAGCGTAAACTTGAGGAGGAAAGTGAAACTCAGAATGAAACTGAATCTGAACTTGCTTCTGTTATGGGATTTTCTGGTTTTGGATCATCAAAGAAGTAGCAGAATTTCTTTTTATTTCTTTTTTTATTATTCGAATGCATAAAGCAGGAGAATTTTGTACGAAGACGTGAAACTTGTATCAATAGTGCTGTACATTGGTATTAACTAAGCTGTCAGTAGGTACACTTGTAACATATTTCTGAATAAATATGAATTAATAACAGTAACACAGAAAGAAACGTTGAACAAATGAAGAACCTAACCTGAGAATATCAAAGAATATGATGATTTATGTAGAGAATATATTAAGACAAACAGGTGCACATAATATAGAAGTGGGGTTCAAATAAATGCTCCAGAAATATACCAGTGAATATTAAGTTTAGGAAAGAAGTTGTTTTTCTTAAGTATGTATATATTTTTGTGTCTGTGTGTGCGTGGTAGCTAGGAAATATGGTATTTCCTGCGACAATGTGCCAGAGTGGAGGAAAGATGAAGAACAGTTACTATATTTATCAGAGAAACTTCCAGTGGACTAAAGAGGTGGGGGGAAAAGTTCTGCTTGAGCCAGAGAATCATGCCCAAGTATTTTATCTGGGAAAGTATTGTAAAGAGGTGATACCTGAGGGTCATAGTATGGTAAATATGGTCCTTGTTTTGGCAGTGTATTGAATTAATTGTATATATCCTGAAGCATTGTAATATCAATACACACAACATTAGAAAATTACACAAACACAGTAGATTCAAATCAAACTTCTCTTTTAAGTTGCCAGTAAGCGGAACAATATGTGCTGTATTGTTATGCTGTTTGAGGTAAAGGAACAACAAGCCGTAATTTCCTTCCCTTCAAAGCCAACTTCTGAAAAAGTCTGGATAATTTGTATGAACAACAGTAATTCAGTATGTAAATAGGAGGCATCTGCGAGTGTCAAATTTTCAGAATGGAATCAAGAAAAATATTCTTAATTTCAATTTGAACATTAATTTTGAAACTCGAACTTTGATAGTTTTCTGATAGCATCTTTTGTTTTGCAAGTCAGGCTCATATGAAAAGGGATTTGTATCATATTTGCTCAAATAGAAGATGAGTCTCCCCCCACCGCTGAACGGTCACGAATATGCTCGTCATTGACGCACGCAAAAAACCCTTCTCGCATGTTCCTAGTAAATAGTAACAATATGCTGACAGCCAGTTCATCTGTCATGTTTAAATGTGAAACTAGAGAGAAAAATTATGCAATCTGCACAATCAGTGAATAATGTGACAACATAAACACTATCTCTTTACATGATATTTTAAATATTAATATAAGTGTCTAGTATCTTCATAGTAGCATTCTTTTGAAAGGGGATGTAGTATTACTTGAATCATATCACACTTCTGACACCAAATCCTAGTACCAGTGTAATTTCCCAGTTCTTCGTGTTTCTTGGAGAGATGTAGGTAGTGTTATATATCCAGTGCTGTTTTACAGGTATCTATTACAACATCTGTATGCACCAGAGCTCTGTAATGACAGAAAACAGGACTTCATAGTTAGATACATTGAAACTCATTTCAGGAATTTCTGTGCAAGTTTGCCCATACAGGAAGCTCAAAATATTTGGTCCAAAAAATTTGTACCAAGTGTAACACAAATTTTTACCATTTACTTATGGCTTGCAAGAAATATTGGTATTTTCATGGGCATTTAGTGCCAGCATGTTTATTCTTATGGAGAGTATGAAACACATAACAATGCAGGACCCTAAATGTTGCTCATGTAATCATTGTTTTCTACGCATATGGTATAGGTGCTTGCTAGTTCAGAACAATGTCCTGTAAGGATGTAAGCATATGATCCATGCCTCAGACTGCAGACATATTATTCTTCTAAGCCTGTATGCATCCAGTTTACTACTTAGATGAAGGGACCTGTTTGTATTATGTGTGAACCTGCATGGAAAATAAGTTAAACCAAACAATAGGATAAGTACCTGAAATGTAGCATTCATTCCAAATTACTGAGTAGGTTGGTCTAGAGGTAATGCTCTAGACTTGCATTTCCAAAGAGCTCGGTTCAAATTTTTGCCTTCTTACTGAATATCCTGACTAGGTTTTTGCGTGGTTTTCTTCAGCCCCTCCAGACAAATGGTGCGCAGTACCTTCTTTAAGCCATAGCTGCTTTTTTACAAATCCTTTCCAATTCAAAACTCATCCAGTGCTATAATCTTGGACTGAAAATTGTTATTAAATGCCCCCAGAGATTCCAAAAACGCAGAGGGAGATACTAGCAAGTGCAAAATGCCTCATTGCATACAGGGTGTCCCAGGAAGAATGTGGCAAACTTCGGGAGGATGTTCCTTATGTTATAGTATGCCGATATAACCCAAAAGACCTATGTCCAACGTTGAACGGTTATGGAGATAATGGCCCGAGAAAAGTGTGGTCTTCTGGCGAGTCCACGCACAGTACCAGTCAGCTGGCATGTCTTATCTATGTTTGTACTTGAGTGTGGTGATGGCAGCTCACGTTAGCCCCATACACTCGCATATCAGAACACGTAGTCAGCAATGTTATGTCAGCGCTTGCCATTCATGTGTCATGTATAGTGCTTGGAACTCTTAACGACAACTTTGACATGGCATGCGAGTTTTTTGTAGTTCAATTTAATGGCTTCATGTCACTCACACGTTAGTTTGATGTTATGTACATTATTAACTTTACAGAAACCACATATTCCTGCCAGTTTTAATATGTATTTTGTAATCAACAAGTGTGTAACACCGGTCAAAGTTTCACACTTCTCTGGCCATTATCTCCGTAACCGTTCAACTTTGGACATAGGTGTTTTGGGTTATATTGGCATACTTTAACATAAGGAACACCCTCCTGAAGTTTAGCACATTCCTCCTGGGACACTCTGTATAAGCAGCACTGAATTTGTCTTTGTGAAAGACAATCATTTTAACATGAGCTCCTCAAATTCTCAGGGCATGCCCTCTATTTAAAATTATCTGTGTTCCATATGTTACTTCAGTTAATAGTGAGGTTCCAATCATGCAGAATTTAGTGTAGTACCTAAGATGGGAGCAAACTGCAGAACATCATATAACCTCAATTCTTGCATCATATAATTAAATTCAGATACAATATACATCTCTGAATACTGTACAGACATTTTATATTCAAATTTAACACATCATCTATCATATAAAGATTGTAATGAAACGTACACATTTCATATATATACCTTAAGTGATGGTGGTAAACTTCTGCTGTCCTGTCAAACATATCAGCCAAGAAATCTGCACAACTTGATGGATTACTATCTCCTGTTGGTGTATCATAATCATCAGACAGAGAACTTTTCTGTGCTGTTTGAGTAGTGACAGTTATATAATTCTGTGATCTACTGTCAGATGTTTTATACAATTTTCTGTGAGATACTGACCTGAAAATATAACAAGATTGTAAAAGCATAATGTGTAGACCTCACAGGTGTGTTAGGAACAAGGAATTACAAATGAAATGATTAAGATTATAATGAAATCTCATCATAATAAACGAACATTAAATTCTCAAGCAACTATTCACTGTTAGTTGATACTTATATGTATTTTACATACATGCCTAAGAATTACATGTGTGTTACACATAAGGGTGTGAAGTAGGCATATAGTTGTGTGATCAAACAGTGTTTTAATGAAATTGGTTTATTTTGACAGTACAGTGCAAACGTAAGACAATAGTCCCATTTTTGGCACATGGAGCAACAGTGCATGAGCTGCAGTTATCTTCAAACTGTCGGTCTGTCTCAGTCTGTCTTGCAGAGTGTTTTCCTTTGGTATTGAGAACTGATTCACTATGATTACTACAAGTATTTAATTTGCATGGGGGAAAACAAAATCACTACAAACAGAGGGATTACAGTGGTGATAAAGGTCTTGTACAAACTTCATTTCCCTACGAAGAATTTGATCCCATGTGCTGTACCTAAGAGCATGCACACTGTAAATCTCATGGTCACTGGAGCTGACATGCTCGTCTGTTTACAAGTAAAGGTTGTATAAGTGGATTTTGATAAAACTTAGTATTTAAAGTTAATATTGAAACATTCCCAACATACTGAATTTGGCATGTACTGGGTAGTATAAAATTATTTTTTTTTTATTTAATTCACTGTTGAATATATTGAAAATTATTTGAAGCTTATGCTTTGTTTTCTATTTATGCTACAGTGTACAGTTTAAAATTTAACATAAATTATTTACTTTTAGGATAGTTTCATTCAATTTTCTAGAACAGAGCAGAGTTACATTACTAGATAGAAGCTTTATTTTAATTTAAGAACTTAACATATTCATACGTTGCTGAAAGTGAATTAAGCATTGACACACTCACTACCAAGCCCTCACACTGAGAATTTTACATACTAGCCCAGCAGTCATTCTTTCTATGAAAACTGATCTTCAAACTTACTACTTTTGAAAGTTAAATAGAAACAAACAGGTTGAAAAGCAATAAACATTCACTCTGTATTTTAACTTATTGAACTTTTGGCAAACAATAATTAAGGTTTCTCTGCTTTCAAGTAGAAGAGAGAATTACATGTTCATACACAGGTGGCAAAGTGCATTGCTTGAGAGGATTAGCACTGGCATATGGAAAACTTCAACTCATCAGGTATCAGGATTGGCAGGGAGTCTGTTAAAAGGAGAGCCTTTGTTTTCAGCTATTGTTTGGGGAATGCAGGAAAAACTGAACGGATCACATTTGGTCAGAGGAAAGTAACAAACGTATTGTACTACATGTAGTGTATAATTAACTTACCTTACAGCATCCCCCTTTTTTATTGACTGAGACACATTTGGTAAGAAGTAATCTCCTTTGTTAACAGCATCATGAAGTGCAGAATATGTTTCTTCATCACTAGAAGCTGTTTTGACACCCCCCTCCTCTGATGACTGTAACAATTAGGTACAAGTGCTATGTGTTTGTATGCTTCATTTCTTCTTATATGAATACTATGTACTAATTCTTAAATCTGTAATGAATATTTCATATATAAAGCAATAGGTAAATTGGACTGGTTAAGCACTTTCATTCTTGCATTTATTACATGTTTTAAAATCAGATTCATTGCAATAAGAGTTTTTCGCTTAGTGGGGAGTGGAGTCCAGCTGGGTCTGCTCGGCACAGGGGCCACTGATTGGCCTATTGTACCTGCCCCGGGTAATTATG